GAAATGACCTCCAGGAGCAACATGAGCTTCAGGCCATTGCGGAAATCCTCCTCGATGTTCTCGATCTGGGTGCCGGCCTTGCGCAGGTGTGAGTTGCACCAAGCAGTGAAGGTCTGCGGGCAGAGAACAGTGCTCAGACCCTGCAGCTGAGGGTGGAGCTCAGGCCCTTGGTCAGGGTAGGTCCCTGAGCCCAAGACCCTGGATTCGGGTCCAGGCTCAGCCACTGACTTGCTGTGTGTCTGGGCCAGCCTCTTCCCCTCTCTGAGCTTCAGTTCTCCTGCAAGAGGAGAAAATAGGGTCCAGGGCTCATGCAGGTCTCAGTTTGGACTTGGGGTACCTCACCAGCAGCTCTCCAGCTATGACCAGTCTCAAGTACTGGAGGGGGATTTAGAAAATCATAAAGCAGACACTCCATAGTGTGGGGCCCTCTGAGGTGTAGGGGCCAATGCAGGGTGATACCACCTGTCTGAAATCTGAAAAATTCTGGATCGAAGTATATCTGGCTCTGAGGGTTTTGCCTGTGGGACTGTGCACCTGTGTATTTCTATATCAGCCCCACTGACCTCTCAGGGCTATCGTGAATTGGCCTCAGGTAGACTATGAGTATGTAAGAGCTTTGCAGGTCATGGAGCACCAGCAGGCCACTCACACCCAGCCTGACCTCGTGTCTGGAGGTGATTGCCCTCCCCTGCTCCCCAGAGTTAGCTTCAGCCTCAGTCTCCATCTGGGACACGAGGCAGGTGCATGGCTGTGAGTCTACCAGGGATGGGATGACCTGGAGCTGCGTCCACAACTTTCAACCAAACTACCAAGCTTTCAGGCCCTGGATTCTCCTGGGTCCATCAGCTCTAAGGTCCTTGGTCAAATCCAGTTTTGGGCTCCAGTCCCAGCTGAGCTACTCTCTGCGACCTGAAGTCAGCGCTATGCCTTCCCTTAGGCTCAGTGTTCCCATTTGTATAATTAAGGGGTCAGACTCCATGATGCCACAGGTCCCTCTTCCCCAACCTGGCAGGATTCTAGAATTTAGAGCATCCCCCCACCACAAAGCAGATACTCCTGAAAGGTGGCCCTAGAAGTTATTTGGAATTTTTTCCCTCAGTCAATTTCCCTTCCCAGACCAGCTTTTCAGGTGCCCTAGAAGCTGGACATGGAAGATGATGCTTTAAGTTCTTGAGGGGCTGTCATTGCTAAGGGAAATGGGTGGGTTTGCTGTCACCAGAGGTGTATAAGTGAGTGCTGAGCACCATTTTTCTCCCCAAGCACAGGAAGGGCAGATGATTTCCTGTAGCTTCTTCCAGTTCTAGAGCCTAGAATGCGCTGGGACGCTGGACAGGGCTGGGCGAAAGGCAGGTCTGGGTGGCACTTCCATGGCAAAGGAAGGGAATGGGTTTTTTTTTATCCTCAGCCCATGACATTTTTTTTTCATTGCTTTTAGAAAGAGAGGGAGAGGGAAGAGAGAGAGGGAGAGAGAGAGAGAAAGGGACAGAAACATTGACTGGTTGTCTCCTATACATGCCCCAACCCGGGATCAACCTGAATCTTAGGTATGTTCCCTGACTGGGGGACCTTTCAGTTTATGGGACGATGCTCCAATCAACTGGGCCACATTGGCCAGGGCTGAAGGGCAGTTTTTTTTTCATTTGACAAACATGGTTCTTAATGAGATGTGGTCCCTGCACTGAAGGAACTGACAGACCATCAAAGAGTCATGTTGGTCTGACAGGAGCTGGGAGGGACTAATGTTAGAGATTCTAGGGGAGGAGTTCTCCCAATGGAGGGGGGAGGCTAATGTTTGGTCAGAGCTGGGAGGGAAGAGCCGGAGTTATTCAGGCAGGGAAGGGCAGGCAAGGGCACTCCAGGCAGGGGTAGCCACGCGGGCAAATGCTTGGCAGTGAGAAACAGTTGCTAGGTGTGCGGAGCTGCAGGAATGGAGCTGGGGGTGTTGGGGTATGAGTGGTTAGAGGCAGGCCGGAGGGGCAGCAGGAGCCAGGTCATGCACGATCTTGGGTGCTAAGCCAGGGAGTTTGAACTTGATCCTGAGAGCAACAGGGAGTCAGGGAAGCTTCCAAGCAGAGGAGGGAGGTGGGTAGAACTGTTTTAAACAGCTCATTCTGGTTTCAGAGTAGAGACAGAAGGCTTGGCAAACCCGAAGGGAGAAGCAAGGAGGTAGCGGCTGGCACCAGGGTGAGAGTCAGTGAGGAGAACGGGGTAGGATGAGGTGGATGCGATAGAAATATTTGTTCTTGCTGGCATATAAGCTTCCTGAGCTTGTCCCCTGTTAATTCCTGGCACCTAAAACAGAGCCTGACCTCAGAGTAGGACCTCATTAAGAAATATCGAATGAATATTTTTTAATGCAGTTGAATCAGGTGGGAAGAGGTGTTCCAAGATGCAGAGGGGTAGCAGGGAGGAGGCAGGACTGACGCTGAGCAGAGATTTCATTTCATTGTAATACACAATGTTGGATGAGAAAGAAAGGACCAGAATGTCCAGTGTGCTGGAGATGCTGATGAATTTACAGAACATCTATGCTCCTCAGCCATTGAATGAATCGATGAGGTGGGTGGCTGTAAGTTGGGTGGAAAGGGTATTTCTGATATTTTGTTAAGTGACGAAGGCAGTCACAGACAGACACATGTCCTAAAAGGGGCACATGAACCTGGATTGGGGAGAGGCCTGGGTGGGTGGGGGTGAGGACAAGAGTTGCAAAGCAGATGGCACCTGGAGGCAGGGGCAGGGATGACATCACCAGGAGATTGCTAGACCAGAGGACCACAGCCCTGCTTGGAGACAGGTGCAAGATGAACCTAGGGGAGGTCTGTCATCTGGGGTACCCCAGGCGAGTTAGCTGAGCTTCCTAGGCCCTGGGGTCATCTCCTGTCACCTAACCCAGCAGAAGTGCTCTGATTCTAAATCCTGGGATTCTCAGATCCTGCAGATTCCACTGGACACCCCTATCCCCTGCCCAGTCCTGGAGTCATATACTGTTGACAAATGCTAAGCAGGATCCAGTGACCTCGTGGTGTCCTACCTACCTCTGGCCTGCCACTCCCCAAAGTTTTCTCACTTCAGCCAGGATCATTTCTCTTTTGGGAACCCAGGTGTCCGGCCCCCTCCACTTGAGAAAGTCTGGGAGTGAAAATAGCTCAGCAAGAGGGGGCCCGAGAACCCTACAAGGCTGGGCCCAGGCAGCAGCTGCCCATGTGCCCCTCTCTAGCTCCCCCAAGCCGCTGCCTCAGCAAAAAGTGTCCATCTGGCCAGAGAGTCAGATTACTATGTAAGGGGACACAGGGCTCCCTCCTCTCCAACCCTGTGGCCTTTTCAGCAGACTCAGAGTCGCTGGGCCAGGGAGGGGGTATCTTGGGAAAGAGTAGGTATGGGGCAAGCAAGGGGCAAAGACACTCAGATTGTGGGGTGAGGGGACGGAGGGTCCTGTTTTCTGACAGTATATGATTTGGGTTGTATTTCTGCCCTTTCTAGGCTTCAGTTCCTCATTTGACAATTGGGATAGAGTGACTATGGATGCCATGCTGGAAAGAGTACAAAGGAGAGGACAGAAGGGGTTTGGGATGGCTGTCCCTTCCCCAGCATTCCCAAGTCTCTTTGCTAGTTGTCTGGCTGCAAGTCCTCAGGGTGGGGACTGGGAATATTTAACTAGAGAGGGTGAAGGTGGGGTGTGGCAAGAAACAGATTATTCTTCTGGAAGTCCCCAAACTTGGAATTCCTGGGCTAAGCTCAACCTATTTTCACCAGGGGAAGTGGGCCCAGGGGAATGAATCCTGGGGGGCAAACCAGAAACTCTTCTTGTCAGCCTAAACCCCTCATGAGGGCTCCCAGTCCTCTCCTCTAGCCCTTGGGGGACACCAGAGGACTGATGGGCAGAGCCTGGGCTAAGGAGTGGCACTTTGCAGGCTCTGCCCCTGTCTTGCTGAGATGACAATCACGAACTGATTGGCTTCTCAGGCCTCAGTCTTGCCATCAAGAAATGGGCTAGTACTCACTTTCCGCTGCTGCTTCTCCCAGGCCGGGTCCAACAGCAGGTCGCGGTCCCAGTCCTCCTCCTGTTCCATGTACTCGCCGCTGCTGGCCGCGAAAGGCCCCTCCCCGGCCCCCAGGCCCTCGGGCTTCATAACCATCATCATCTCTCTGGCGTTTTTTGGCTTCGCTCTGCTCGGCGCTCTCCAGAACACAGGGGCAGCATTAAGTAGCGCCCGGCCCAGCCCCGGATCGTATTCGCGCTAAATATGGGGGAGGTGGGAGGGGCATGATGGGGGCCGGGGCGCTCGGGTCGGGATCCGGCAAAGGTAGTCCTGGGGCCAGGGGACTGCAGGATCTGGGGGCGCTGGCGTGAATCCCGTGACGGAGATTCGGGGTCCGTGGGCGCTGTGTGACCTTGGGAAAGTCACAGGCCCTCTCTGAGTCTGTTTCCTCATGTGTGCAATGGAGATGACGATAATAGTGGCTGCAGACAGCTCTAAAGGCTGCCCTTTGGGCCTCCTTCTGACCCTCTTACTGCGCGGCTCTGGTGGGAAACGGAGCCCTATCCCCATTTCACAGTCAGGAACACCAAGGTGCAGGGATGTTTTTAATGTTTTCTGGGGTGATAAAGGGAGACACTCGAGCATGGGGAGGGACTCCAGGCCAGCTGGATAGGCCGATGGAAGGCTATTAATATCGGGGCGGCTGGGGGCGAGAGAGAATGTGCTGAGTCGGGAAACCCCGACGCCACCGAGGGTGCAACTCAATCCTGTGGGCACACAAGATAGCCAGACCAGCCCGCTGGGCTTCTGCGGGAGGGGCGGAGCCTCCGTGGGTGGGCGGGGCTATAACTGTGCTGCTACACTGGCTCCAGCGCCAGCAGGATTCCAAGAATCTCCCTGGCTCATTCGGCTGTCCAATTAGAGCTCCGCATCTGCAGCCTGCTCCACGTGACTCTAAGCGCCCACAGCAACCCCTTTCAGAGCTTCCATTGGTCGTAGTAGACTTCCGTTTGACACTATCCCCGCCCTAATACGGAAGCGGCGGGGTACTCGGGAATCGACTGCGGGTGGGTCCAGGCCATGGGGCAGCCCTGGGCGGTGGGGCGCACGGATGGGGCGCCCGGGCGGCTGCCCCTCGTGCTCACCGCGTTGTGGGCCGCGTTGGTGGGTCTGGAGCTGGCCTATGTGCTGGTGCTGGGTCCTGGACCGCCCCCGCTGGGACCCCTGGCCCGGGCCTTACAGCTGGCGCTGGCCGCGTTCCAGCTGCTTAACCTGCTGGGCAACGTGGGTCTCTTCCTGCGCTCGGACCCCAGCATCCGGGGCGTGATGCTGGCCGGCCGCGGTCTGGGCCAGGGCTGGGCGTGAGTGGGGCGCGGGATGCGGCGGGGAAGCGGGAACCTTGGACAGGGGGAGGGGCTCTAGGACATGAAGATGTTAGAACCAGATTCTTATAGGATCTGCTTGTTGTAGAGCCAGAGAGAATTCCTTTAGAACCTGGGATGGGAGAGCCAGAAGGAGTATATCATTCATTCACTAACAAATGTTTACTGAGCACCTGCTGTGTGCAAAATACTGTTCCAGGCACAAAAGGTACCATAAAACGGGTTCCTGACCTCCTGGAGCTTATTTCAGTGGAGGAAGGGGCAGATGATAAACTATTGGCAAAATAAGCAAGTTTATAGAATATTAGAAGATGGTGGTGGTATGGAAACAAAAAGTGGGGCAGGGTAGAAGGGGTGCAATTTTAAAGAGGGTGGTCAAGGTAGGTTTCATTGTGAAGGAGGCATTTAAACAAAGACTTGAACGTAGGGAGTTAGTTAGCCATGTGGGAATCTGGGGGAAGAATGTTCCAGGCATAGCGAACAGACAACACAAAAGCTCTGAGGCAGTTATGTGCTTAGCATGTTCCGAGAGCAGCAAGAAGGCCAGTGGGGCTAACGTTCCATTTCCCCCTAGAAGGAGCGAGAGACAGGGAGGAGAGAGGTTAGACATGTAAAGGCCTAGTAGGACATTGAAGACTTTGCTTTTTACTAGAAGTGAGATGGAGAGCTGTTGGAAGGTTTGAGCAGAAGACAGATGTGACTTTGACTTTTAAGGATCAGTCTAGTTGCTGGGGTGAGACAACATTAGGAGGGGACACAGGTGGAATCAGGAAGACCAGTCAAGTTGTTGCGATTATCCAAGGGAGAGTTCATGGTGATTTGGGCCAAGTGATGGCTGTGGAGGAGGTGAGAAGCTTGCTCCGGGATGTTAGAGGCCAGAGAAAGGCCTTAGGACTAAGGATGTCTGAGTTGGAAGTGACCTCAAGCCTGCAGTGCCAGAACCGGAAGGGCCTGGCAAGTGGTGTTCAGCCTGCATTTACTTACGAAGAATCCGAGGTTTAGTGAGGCCAGCCTCTGCTTCCCCAGGATGGGCTCACAGGCATGAGATGGGGCTCTAAGAGCTGCTGGGGGAACTGACCCTGTGGTTCCTCCCTTGCAGTTACTGCTACCAGTGTCAGAGCCAGGTGCCTCCGCGTAGCGGGCATTGCTCTGCCTGTCGCATCTGCATCCTTCGTCGGGACCACCACTGCCGCCTGCTGGGGCGCTGCGTGGGCTTTCGTAACTACCGGCCTTTCCTGTGCCTGCTGCTTCATGCCGCGGGTGTCCTGCTCCACGTCTCTGTACTGCTGGGCCCCGCCCTAGCAGCCCTGCTGCGAGCCCACACACCCCTCCACACCGCCGCCCTCCTCCTGCTACCCTGGCTCATGCTGCTCACAGGTAGGAGCCTTGGGAGGCCTCCGTAAAGAGGCAGAGTCCCTAATAGTGGGCCGTTTTGGGGGGAAATGGGACTTCCGGCTGGTTCTCCTGGCCATGCCCTGGGGACCCAGTCCCAGTGTCATTTATGAGGGGTGAGGTATTCAGCTGGGTACCCTGTGTGGTAAAATACCGTGCCAAAACACAGGTACAGAGATCTGCCGGGCAGAATTAGGGAAGGGTTTCAAGAGGTGCTGGCGGAGGGAAGACTGGTGGGAGTTCCCCGGGGGAGTATTCTACAAGGGGCTGTTCTAAGTGAGGGCTGGGTGTTGGGCAGGGAGCAGCGAAGGTAACTTGATGGGAATTGTGAGAATTAAGGCTGAGACCGCAGGTTAGGACTGGGTGCTGGAGGTCTTGAGTGCTGATGTGAGGAGATGGCCGTCACCTGACTGGACAGTGGGGAGCCCGTGGAAGTTACAGGCAAGGGAAGGGCTGGTCTTTGGAAGTCGGGAGGGGGAGACTTGGAAGGCTTATTGAGAGGCCAGGTTCTGGATGACACATCTGTTCCTGTTTCCTCTGCCACCACCCAAGGTAAAAGCCCCACTGGTCCTCTGTACTCTGCTTTGTCCCCCTCAAAATGCTCTGGGCTTTCTTTCTCCTGACTCCCTCCTCCTGACCGCTCCCCCACAGTCCCCTCTGTAACTGTGTCCTGCACTTACTAAACTCCCCGACCGTTCTGACAAGTTGCTGTGTCTCCTCATCATTTCCGAGTCCAGCTCTGTCCCGAGGATGCCCTCCTGCAGCCCCAGGGGAGGCCTCAGGAGGCCCAGTGGGGTGGTCAGTGTCCTCCTTTGCCCACACTGGCTGCCTGAGCAGCCCCCCTTGATCCTCTCCTTCCAGGGAGCCTCCAGCCCTCCAGCCACACCTCCCTGCAGCCCACTGAAGACTTGGGTTCCAGTGGCCAGTCTTCCTGTGAGCCCCGGGCCCCGTCAAAATCAAGGGTGCCTGAAGGTCTGGGCGAACGACCTACTCAGTGCCAACACTCATTCATCTTCTTCACATCCTCCTGGTTACTTCCCTCCCCTGCTCCCATGTCCGCACCGCAGGTCTTGTCACAATTCAAAATGTGTCACCTCCCAAATCTCCATCAGCTCTCCCTGCTCCCACCACTCTTCTTTTATCCATCTTTCACTCTTTCACTCCAGCACACCTGCTCTGCTAGCCCCCGCCCTTACCTTTCTGTGCATCAGTTCCTTCCCACCTTTACCGCCCCGTGTCCAGCTCGGAGCCCTCATTCCCACCATTCTCCTGCCAACATGTCAAACCATTTGCTCCATCTTCCCATCATGGTGCCTTCCTGGTGTCTCTGTGTCAGCCCCTGGCTGCTGAGAGCTGCCACAGATACATGGCATTTTGTGGCGGGTTGGTACAGGCCACTGACCTCAACAAGCCCTCCACTGTGCCTGGCTGTCCTAACCTCTCATAAGCTTGCTCCCCTTGATGACTACGGCCCCAAACTTTCGAATCCCCTGTCCTCTACGTCCCCACCTCTTGCAAATCTATCACAGAGAAGACGAGGCATCAGATGGTACCTCCAGCATCATTCCGTTCACAGAGCTCTACGCCAGGCTGACTGCCCCCAGCTTCTCCTCCTCGGAGGCCGCACTGTGGGCTGGCCTTTCCTCCCGCCTCCCCAGGCCCCCTCTACTGGCTGCCTCTGTTCCCGCCCCCCATGAGCCCTTTCTTCACCCCACATCCTTCTCTTGCTCTCACCTCTGGTTCTCTTAGTAGCCAGGCTTCTCCAAGGACTTGCTGGGGCTTATGGCTGCTTTTCTTCGCCTCCTGCCCCATGCATTCCTCCACCTGCTCCAAACTGGCTTCTGCCCCCATCATTCCTCCGAGCCTGCCACGGTCCCAGGCCTCTGCCTCCACAAAACTCAGAGGACCCTTTGCGTTTTCATGCTTCACGAGATCTTTCAGTCTCAGAACTGCTGACCTCTAACCTCCTCAAAGGGCTGTCTACCCTTGGTGTCACAGGCAGCGTGGACTTGGGTTTCCTCCTTCCTTTCTGGTTTTCCTTTATTTTTTTATCTGGTTCCTAAGGATCTGCTTTCCTGGGGCTGAGATCGAGGCACCGTTCTCTCTCTCTCTCCACGCTCTGCGGGGTGGGGGGTCTCCAAACCGCCTGTGTACCAACTACCCACAGAACCGTCCAGCCTGGGCTTCTCTTCTGAGCTTCCAGAACCATCCACTCACCTGTCTCGCAGGCACCTCTCCGTTCTGCCTTGGGACTTGCAAACAATGTTTTCTCCCTTCTTCACTTAGCAAACACCTCTAACCTCCAGGCACCACCCGAATGATTACTTTATGAAGACAGATGAAGTCCACTTCCATTAGCCTCTTAGTAAGTTCCCATGGCATTTCCCGTCACAGACTGTTTGTTGAAGTAAAATTCACATAACACGAAATTCATCCTTTTAACTGTTTTCAAGCACACAATTCAGTGGCATTTTGTATTTACAATGTTGCACAACCATCACCGCTAGTTCCGGAACATTTCCATCACCCCAAGCAGCAGCCCACAGGTCCCCATTAAGTGGGCACTCTGCATCCCTCCCCAAACCCCTCAGCCCCTGGCCACCACCGTGCTCCTCTGTGGATTTGCCTATTTGGGCTATTTCATATAAACGGCATCACACGATATGTGACCTTCTGTGTCTGGCTTCTTTCACTGAGCGTAATGTTTCCTGGCAGCTTGTAGTTCTGAGTTCAGCAGATACATGTTGCCTACTGTGGGCCAGGAAGGTGTAAGCCTCTACGTTTCCAGCGTATCACACAGCACAGCTGTAAGTAACTGAGAAGGGAGAAGGTCTGTCAGCTCCCTGAGGTCAGAGAGGCTGTCCGCTGTGCATTCTGATATTCGCAGTGCCTGGCACCCTGTCCAGCACATGGGCAGTACTCACACGTTTGTGATGCATGAGTGAAAGTTGTACATAAGGCAGGGGGCTGTGTCCACCCAGGTCACTGGTGTTCCCATTACCCAGCAGGGGCCTGCCAGGGAGCAGGGACTCAGTGTTTGCTGGGGAGGAATGAGCCCCGTTTCTGGTAGTGGGTTGGGGTGGAAGAAGGGCAGGAGCTGGGCTTTGGGGGACTGGGCCTGATGCTGACCCCTGACACTCTCCGCTCTCTCCTCACAGGCCGAGTGTCCCTGGCGCAGTTCGCCCTGGCTTTCGTGACGGACACGTGTGTGGCGGGTGCACTGCTATGCGGGGCTGGGCTGCTGTTCCATGGGATGCTGCTGCTCCGGGGCCAGACCACCTGGGAGTGGGCTCGGGGCCAGCACTCTTACGACCTGGGCCCCTGCCACAACCTGCAGGCGGCCCTGGGGCCCCGCTGGATTCTGGTCTGGCTCTGGCCCTTCTTGGCCTCCCCATTGCCTGGGGACGGGATCACCTTCCAGACCACAGCTGATGTGGGACCCGTGGGTCCTGACTCCAGGAAGAGCTAGAGCTGTATGGAGAGGGGGAACAGTGAGAGAGGGGGCTCATGATTCATTTCAGGCCCACCCCTAGCCTCAGGTGGGGAGGCAGGTTGGTACTTAATGCCTGCTTTTGGCAACTGCAGCCCCATCCTTGGCCTTGCCCCTCCCCAGCTTGGACTCCTAGTAGCCAGGACTTGGGCCCTACAATTTTGCGTCTATCAGCGGCCATTGAATGCAGTGGAGGGTCTGGCAAAGGGCTGCTCTGCCAACCTGCTACCCCTTTGCCAGGTTAATAAAGTGCCCAGTTGGTCCTTGGACTCCCTCCATCTTTGTGGGTTTCTGGTCCCTCACCGTTGCCTGGCTGCTGTTCCACATTCCTCTCATCATGATGTCTGGGAACCACAGAATGCCTGAGTCTGTGATGGGCCGGGGCTCCGCCTCCTGGGGCCTCAGTGGGGTGGGCACGGGCACCCACAGGCCAAGGTGGCAGGGAGGGATCCAGGGTACGAGAATGTAAAATTCTTTCCCAGGTCCAGTGCTTTCTAGTTAGAAGCATTTCCACACCACAATTTCAGTGAACCTCTCTGGCTAACCTGGGGCACTGGGCAGCAGTTACACAGGCAAAACCCTGAAAGCTCGGAGAGTTGCTATGGTAAGGTCATGGGGTGGTAAATGGAGGAGTTAGGGTTTGAACCTGGGTCTTTGTGCCTTGCCCTCACCCCTGCACAGCTGAGGGAGAGTGGGACAATCAAGGTGGAGAAATTACCTGGGAGCTACTTGTTAAACATTTTTATTTAAATGTAACGAGAGTTACTACATTTAGCAACTCTAAACTCTAAATGTAGCAAATGTGGCAGGTTTGAACACACGTCTTTGTTTCCTCTTAAAATCTAAAATGCTAGTAGAGAGGTAAGAAAAATTGTAAGTTTACAAGAAGAAAATAGGAGGCAGACAGCAGGAAACCAAATGGCCTGGCTCATGTACTCTCTTAGCAGAGGAGGAGTTGAAGTTGTGTTCTCAGAGGGAGGGGCCAAGAGGCAGCCAAACTGCCCCTGGAACCCTGGAGAGGCTCAGGAATCCCACCTGGGATTCCCATGGAAGGCAAGGTTTGGGGCTGACACGCTAGGGACTGACCCAAAGTCTATGTGGGTGGCAGCTAGGGTGCCCCTCCCCCCAGCACCCTCCTCACCCTGTTCAGCCAAGCAGCTACCCCTCTGGGGTAAAGAAGGGGGTTATTTGAAGAAGCTTGGGGTCTCAGGGGCACTGGGGACAGTAGGGATGAGAGGCAGGACCAAAAGTGGGGTTCGGTGAAAGTCTACAGATGCTGCTTGGGTGGGGGTCTTCCAGGGACACAGCAGACTTGCCAGCCAAGGATGCTCACAGAAGCCCACCTTTCTGGCAGGCCCCGCCCATGCCCACCAAGGTTCCAGCTGCTAGGACTTGTGTTTTTCCCAAGGGCATGCTCTGTTATTTTGTAACTGGGTTAGGGAGCCCGGTGCTCTGTGCCGTACCTAAGTACTGGCAGACCGACTTTCCTCCTTTGCTTCAACTAACCGCCACCCCTCCACCCAATGTCTTGGACATGCAAAAAACTGTAAAGAGAAACTCCACTTCCCACCTCCCACTAAAGAAATGGATCCCATTTCCTGGGACGTCCCTGCTGAGCCCCTCCCTGGTCGGGGACACACTGCTGTCTTAATCATTCCCTGGCTTTGCTTTGTAATTTCATTACGTTTGTATTGGTTTTGCATGTTTTTGAGTTTTATATAAATGGAATCACACCGTGTTTATTTTGTGACTTGCTTTTTCCCTCAACAGTATGTTTCTTAGATTTGTCCAAATGAATGCGTGCAGCTGGAGTGTCCTTGCTATGTAGCACGCTCTGAATACGCCACTTGTTTTCCATCTTGTCCCACCGGTCACCTTCTCTACCCCTGTGTAGAGGTCCCTAAGACCTAGTCTCGGTACTTGCGCTTCTATGCAGGTTTTGGAATCAGCTTGTCAAGTTTCCCCAGTAAAAGCCCCTTTGAGACTGAATGGAGCCCACTGAGCCTGCAGGTCACTCTGGGGAAAGTGACCTCTACATGAAATTGAATTTTCCAGTTAACTCCCTCCTGGTCTGACAGCAGACACCGCATGGTTTCTATTCTACTAAAGCTGGTTAAGGTGTATTCTATGGCTCACAGTGGGGTCTTTCTTGGTAAATGTTCCATGTGAGCATCAGGAAAACACATCCTGCGCCGTCCTTGAAGTCATCTACAGATGGGATACTGTCAGCTGATGGTGCTGGCTCAACTGTGTCTTAAAAAGACACCAAAATTAAAGACCGAACAGAGAGCAAAAAGAGAATTAAAACAGCATTGTAAAGACAATTTCAGAGACGAGCTGAAAAATAAAAATCTAAAAAACAGGACAAAAATTTTGAGAAGACAATCAGAGGATCAGTCCTGTTCTCTCTGGATGTATCAGATGCTGGGCTTAATCGGAATTCCAGACAGAACAGGGCAACGGAGGAGCCTTCCCGGAAGCAAAGGACACACCTCCAGCCACGGCACACGACATAATGACACAGTTAGGCGCGTCCTGACACTGCGGGGCCTCAGAGAAAGTGGACGTCAAGCACAAAACTCACACAGAGCTGCTCAACAAGCATTTACCAAAAATAAAACCGGAAGGGAACACTGCTTAAAAATAATTTTCTTGCATGAAAATGATTTTCAACATCAAATTTTGTGACCCCCAACAGCCACAAACATGTATGAATTGAATAAAGTTCCAGACAAACAGTGCCTTACATGGTAACTCCAGCACTTTTTGAAGAAGGTCCCTGTGGAAAGGCCTGACCAGGTGAGCGGGTGACAGAACCACGGAGGCGGAAGACACGGCGCCAGGAAGCAGGGTCTAGCCCACGCCGGGGCGCTGCGGGTCCCAGGAGAGGGCCCGCGGCAGCTCCGGAGCCGTCTTCCCACAGCAGGGGTGAGGGCAAGTGTCCAGAAAAAGAGGAACTGCCAGACCAGGCGGAGGAACAATAGCAACTGGTATACACAGAGAAGTAGGCAAATGGAAAAAGCAGGGTCATTAATTCCATGAAAACAGAAAAGTGCCCTCAAAGTAATCTAATTACAGCCCAATTCTTGGCTTGCAGTGATGACCTTTCACACAGTAATATAAATTGTAACACAAACTGTGAATGTCGATTTACCTAAAAACTGGTGACACGAGGAAGGGACAGGGTGCTGTCACAGGAGCTAAAGCCTCATCTGTTATGACGGAGCCAACAAGTAGCTTCCGAGACTGACGAAGCAAGACTAGTCTAAGTGTACGATGGCTAAGATGCCGGAAAAGGACTAGGGCGGGGCACAGTGCTGGGGGGCGGGGCTCTTCTTCTAAACTGCCTTATCCCATAGTACTAGGTAGGTACATGGACTTAGATACCTTTTTAAAAGGACACCCACTCTCCTCATCCTTAATGTGCACCACTGTGTGGAGCCCTGACTAGCGAGGCCTCTGGGTTCCTCGCACTGCTCCTCGCGTCCTATCTGCTTTCTGTACACGGTGCGTTCGCTGTTGTTGGTAACAGCACGTGGCATCACATCGTATGAATTCACGGTAGGTGCTGGGCACAGGGGCGGTTTCTCCACGCTTGTCCTCATGGATAGCTACACAGAGGACCCAGAGCCAACTGTCTAGTTCCAAGTTCACACGGTCCATCACGTAACTGGGGTAAAAGGAACGGTAAGGTCGCGTGGCTCAGCTTAACAACGTTGCGCAGTGAAAGCCCAGCCCTGGTGACATATCTCCAACAGAAGATCATGCTGTCCAGGGCAGGCCCTTTCTGCTCCAGAAAGCTCTTCAGATTAATCCAAGTCTCTCTGACACACTCCTTCTACCCACCCTTCCATTTCCAGGTCAAACCTCCTGCTTGCTCCAGCTCAGCCTGCCCCTATGGGTCCGTGTGTGCATCGGGGACTGTACAGAGAGGAGGGAAATGCGTTTTGGTCTAGATACCTTGCTTTTCTTTACCTGGCCCCCAAATGCATTCCTCAGGGGTCAGGGGTGGCTGTGGGCTGTTACCCCAGGCCCTCACTGTGTCTGGGGCACGGAGGTTGTTGCAGTAGCAGTCACCTTGGGCCCTTGGCCACCTGGGCAAAAGCTCTGCAGTTATCCCTGCATCCCCCTTTCTGGAGACCACTCCTCATCTCCCCTGGAGGGGCTGCCAAGCTCACAGGACGCTAGAACTGTATCCAATCTAACTGCCTCATTTTACACAGGCGACTGAAGTCCCCAGGGATTTGGTTACTGGCCAGAAGCCTGAGCTGTCGCCACACACTAGGTTATTCCTGGTCAGAGGGGAAGCTAGAGGTTCTCCGGGACCAGGGCTGCTGGCTCACAGGTGGCCCACCAGGGCTCTCTGAGGCACCACCAATGGGCAAACTGGCTGGGACTGTGGGTCTCTGGCCCTTTGTGGTCTAAACACGTGCCTTTGCTTGGTCTTCTGCCTTACTTGGGCCTCTGGTCTGTACCTTTCCAGCTAATTCTCTTACACTATAGCCACTGCTATAGTGAACTTCCCACTCACACGAGTTGTTCTGGGCTCCAGGGTGTAGAAGCGCATCTTGATCAGCAGTTCTGGGCTTCTGCCTCCTGTGCCACCTCCCGAGGGCCCCGACAACACCCTCTCGGTCCAGTGGAGCCTTCCTCTCCTGGATGCCCACTGTGGACCAGGGCAGGGGTGGGGCCACTAGCTCCCTGTGCAGGCACTCTGTGGCCTCTGCGTGGGGCATCGCAGGCCTGAGGCTTTGAGCCCAATATTTCAGAAAAAAACCTGTGTGGGGAGGCAGCTATACCCTGGGGACCCTGAAGAGAAAGAGCCCCTTGCTCAACTCATGAGGAGAGATCAGAGCACGTGTTTTGCTTGCAAGCTGGACTGGCAGCAGCCAAGTCTCTGGAACCCTGGGGAGCAGCAAGGGGCTCGGTCTCACCCAAGAAAAGCCTCTGACTGTCCCAGGCCAGGCCCTGGCCACTTCCTGCCTGAGCCAGCAGCAACAATGAGCGGTGGGAGAGCTGGGCCGCTGCCCCCCATGTCACCTTGACTGCTTCAGAGCTCTTCCTCTGGACCCGGGTGTGGTTTCTGGAGGAAAGTGAGGAGCACAGAGGAATACAGAGGAGCGCAGAGGAGTGGCACGAGCCCAGCAAGCCAATGCTTGCATCTTCCTGAGAAGAAAGGAGCTGAGCCTCCAGGGTACTCACTGACCTGCTGCTGTAGGTCACCCCACAGTTGAGAGGGTGAAAAAGGGCAGCTTAGGGGAGCAGAGGGAAGCTGTTGCCCCATACCCTGCTGTGCAGGGAGTGGGCCTGGGCCACTGATCCTGCCCAGCTCAGTGGAAGGAGCTGGATTTTCCTGGTCCTGGTTCCGAAGGGGCTTTAATACAAGCCCGGGGGTCAGGCAGCTGCCAGCCCCTCACTCACAGGCATGTTGATATGGGCACTCAGCAGGGGTGCACTCTGGCCTTCTCGAAGCACCAGCACCTGTGGAGGAGGTGCCCATGGCAGCAGGGGTATGTGCCCAGTAGCCCCTGACCCCTGCAAAGGGGGTCGCAGTAGCAGACTTTGGCCTGGTCTGCACTGGCACTAAGGACAGGCCACCACTCAGTCAAACAGGATGGGGAGGCCTCTGCTGCGTGGACACCCACCCTGACCGACCCAGGAGCGCCCTGGGGCCTCGTCCACACTCACACCCACTGTCCTCCCCAAGCAGCACCAACAGTGGCCCACCTTGACGACATCAGAGATGCCCTTGTCACTCAGACTCTCCACAAAAGTCTCCAGGGGGTAGCTGAGCCCTGGCACCAACAAGGGGACCTAAGTTTAGGGACAAAGAGGTTAATAAATTAGCCCTCAGGGCACGGGAAAACCAGGTCCTTCACTCTGCGGGAGTCTCCTTGAGGTGAAGACAGGCCCCCCACAGCCGCTGCAGGAGTGGCTGTGAAGCAGAGTGGCTCCGGGACCCCCAGCAGCAGTGGGCTTCTGGGAGAGGCACAGAAGGGACCCAGGCACAGCCCTCCTCCCAGCACTCGCGGTGCGGCTGGGAGTGAGGTAGCTGAGGCAGGTGCTGGGTGCTCTCCCAGTGGCCCCTGCCGTGTCCTAGACTGACCTGGGGCTGCAGCCACCTGCCAGCCCTCACCTCCGACCTGGTGGAGGCTGTGTGGGCCTTTAATCAGGGCCCACCCTTTTTTGTGTCTCAGGGAGGTGTGTCAAGTACCTTAAAGAAGGCCCGGGGCAGGGCGTAGAGCAGCTCATCATACAGGAAGCAGACCAGCAGCCCCAGGATGGGGCGGGCTGTCGAGGTGTTCTGCAGGTGCAGCGTGAGCTTGAAGGTGGGGCCCAGGCCCTGAACCTGTGGACAGGGTGCAGTGGGTGGGGAAAGCCCTTAGGACCCAGTGCCCGAGCCCTGCCTGCCTGCTTCCTCCTAGAGTCACCCTCCTCCAGCTGTTCTAACACATTGTCCCTCTGCCCTCAGAAGCCAGAGACGCCCAGAAGGTTGGCTCCAGTGGGTACAGGGATCAGCAAAGGTCCAGGGAGGGAAGGGGATTGTGAGAGGCCACTCGGCGAGTTGGTCAGAAGCAGAGCTGGCCTCAGCACACAGGCCTCAACTCCCCGCCCCCCCGTGTCCTGACCAGGGCCCTGCCCCTTTCCCAGGACCTGGCTCACCTCTCCTCTTCTCCTGCAGATTTCACAATGACTTCACTTCACCCCCCCCCCCTCAGTTGCTCTGTAACTTCTTCCTCTCTATACCCGTCCACTTTCTTTAGGCAAAGAGAAATCAGAAACCCAGTTGGGACAGATGGCACACCTCAGGGACCTATTTAGAAGTGCTTGGAGCCCTGATGACCCTGAGGCCACTTGTCAGAGTGCAGGGCCTCCCCGCTGGACCCCCACACCCCAGGCCTATGCAAGCTCCAGGATGTCCCCTCCTATATGGGACAGCCTAACACCTTGGGCTGCCCATAGTTACTGAAATGGACCGCTTTCTTCCCTGTGTCACAGGGGGAAGAGCCCCTCCAGGCTCCTGGGGAGAAACATCCCAAGGTGACTACTTGTGCACCCTGCCCCATGCCTGGGGGCTTGTCTGAGGCACAGATGGAATGAGGGGGCTGAGTTTAGGCCGAGCTCAGGGGGCGTGCTCACAGAGGATGTGAGACTCAGTGCCTGAGCCCGCGGGAAGGTGAGAAGGGGGCACGGGTCCTAGCTGGCTTAGAATTGGCCCTGGGGCTGAAGGGTTCCCACCAGCCTCTGACCCCGCTGCCCCACACCTGGGTGCTCACCACAGCGTGCAGCTTGAGTGGTTCCCGGGCTGTGGCAGACACGGGGCTCAGGCTGGACTCCAGAGCCTGCACATAGGCACGGGCGGCCCGGAGGCGCAGCAGGTAGAGGTCGGTTTGGAAGGTCCGGTGCATGGCTGAGGAGACACAAAGGGCTGACACTGAAGGTGGGAAGGCCAGGCAGGGGTGAAGGGGGGGCAGGGGGGAGGGAGAGTGCAAGAGGAGGGTACACTGGGCTGGATCTGCAGAGGCTGAGCGTGTGGGGAAAGGGAGGGCTGAGGTCCAACAGCCCAGCCTCCTGATGACCCCAGATGCTGGCTCACCCCCTGCTTCCTGCTCCGGCTCCCCTACCACCCCGCTGTCCGCACAACCTCAGTGTCCTTTGCTGGCTCCTCCCATTCCAACATAAGGACTGGGGTTCCCTTGAGTCTTGTCCTAGGTCCTCCTCTCCCTCCTGGACAATCCACATCCTGGCCGTGACCACCCCAAAGAGAAACAATGTGAGCTCCTGACTGCAGGGACTCATGACTCTGGGCCTGCCCATGACCACACTGGATTGGGCACGGCCAGCAGCTCAGCCCCTGGGGCAGCCTCCTGCTTCCAACCGTCAGTGGTCACCTGCACCTGGACACCCCATCACCACCTCAGATTCCACACCGCGGAACCCGAGCTCCCCTCCCTCCATCCAGCAGGCGTCCTGCCTGTCTGGTCACCAGACTCACCCCTTCCACCCTGTCATTTGTCAGGGTCGGATGATTCTTGTCCTCAAAGCCCTCTGCAGAGCAGCCCCCCGCCCCCGTGGCCACTCCTTTCCAGATTTAGCCCCTGGGTCTGCTGGTCTGTCCTTGACTTTATGAGATGCTTTTGCCATTCAGTTTTATATCTTTATGTTACCCCAGCTATTAACCTTCTCTTTTAACTCTAGTACTTTTATAGTTTATTTTTAATTTATCCAGAATTAATTTTTGTGTTTGGTATGAGGTAGAGTCCTAAATTTTTTTTTCTGGAAGCAAGTTGTCCTAATTACGTTTTGCGGACAGTCTCTTCTTCCCCACTAATTTGAAACACCTTTAGTTCATACTGGCTCCCAGATATTTGAGGGTCTGTTTCTGGACTTTCTAAACGTGCCATTGAGCTGTATCAATTCCCATATCGATATCACAGCTTCACAGTTCATTCCAGTAACTGGCTAAGTCCCCTCATTCTTATTTCCCCCAAATTCCTGAGATTTACTGTTAGGATCATTGGTCAAGTCCTCAAAATAAATCCCACTGGGGCTGAACTGTCCCTTTGTTGTTTCTTGATTAATTTTAGAGGCTGTTAATTAATCCACAGCATTACATTAGATCTTGCTACCCTGAGACCTGAAAAATCTCATCATTTCAGGTGGCCTTTTATGTTCTTCAGAGGGATTTATAATTTCCTTTATTAGACTTTATAAGTCTTCTTGTTAAGTTTATTTCTAGAGATTTCCTTGCTATTGTGAATGGAGACTTTCCATTATATTTTCTAACTGGTTACTATTCATATACACAAGAACTACTGATTTTTGCATATTTCACATTTGGTAACCTTAGAGAATTTCCTAATTATTTCTCTAATCTATCAATTGCTTTTCTCAGATTCTTTAGGCTACACCAACCTGTTACTTTCTTTATCTTCTAATTTACCTTTAAACTGCGAGCAAGATCTCCTTTTAAGACAGAGCTGGTTGAGTTACTGCGTTTTTCTGCTTCATGTCTTTCCCAGCTCCCACTACCTACACTAAAGGAACACATCTTCGGTTTGATTCTAGGCCCTTTCAAAGCTGGCACTGACTGCCCTCACAGCCTCCTTCTGGCCACTCAGCGTTCCCGCTCCGCACCCACAGCTACACGGTCCACGCTGCTTGCACCCAGGCAGGGCCCTGCGCCCCACCCGACCTCTGCTTAAACCCTTCCCCATCCCTCTGGCTCTCGGACTTGTAACCGCCCTTTGGGGTGAAGTCCGACGTCGCCCTCTCTGAGCTTTGCCCGGTCTCCCAGGCAGGCTGCTCCCGAGCGCCTCGGCAGCCCTTTGCAGAGACCGTTTCTACAGCTGTCGTGCAACACGAATTACCACGGTAGACTGGGATCCTCAGGCAGGCACCCGGCACAGGCCTGATAATCACAGGTAGGGAACAAATAAATGAGCAGGAAAACTGAATAGGAAAAGGAAGGACTTGGTCAAACTAGACTACTTTCACCAGAATTCTGGGATCTAGCCACTTCTCCGAATTCCAAGGGCTCCTGCCCACAGGTGTGGCACCTCCCACCTGAGATACAGGTGTCTGTAGGCAGCGTGCACCTCCCACCTCCCAGGCTGTCCCTGGACAACCAAGGCACCAAACCCGCCCAGTTCACCAAGGCCTCATCCCACTGCCCAGGGCCCCCCAGCAGCATTCACCCCGCTCTCGCTGCCTCAGGGCAGGGGAGGAAAAGCAGGAGCCTGGCCCGAGCCTCACCAATGCCGGCCTCCCGCTCTCGCAGTGTCTGATCCACATACAGCCGGGTCTTTCGGGGTACATTGAGTTTTGTGGCCTGGGCTGGTGGGGGGCCCACCTCACCTCCCCCATCTGCAAACACTGCTGTTCGCTTCAGGATCTTGATCATCAATCCACCGCCTAAGGAAGTGGACGGAGAGAAACAGATTTGTCCTCCCCAGCCACACCCCCAATTCTTATCTTTCTTCCCCAGTCGGCCTCACAGACCCATTTCCGTACGTGTCTGTGTCGCAGCCGAGATTCTGAGTTTCTGGAAGGAGTGCAGTTTGTCTAAATCATCTCCTACCATTAGTTCACTCTTCTCACAGTTCCTTGCCAAGCACTGTGATGTTCCTGGCGCTGTGGCAGGTGCTGAGGATGCTGGATGGACTGTCCCCAGTGTCTGCCAGCCTTGCTTTCCATACCCAGGTCCTCCTGTGCCTCACACCCACCCCCTCTCTGTCTCAAGATTTGGCCTGTCCCCTTCACTCCCAACCAGAAAACCCTCACCGGGTCTGACCCCCGCACCTCTCGTAGTCACGATGAGGGTGTTATCTTCCCGCCCATAGCGGCCAAAGCAAAGGCTGGTCACTGCATCCTATGGTGGAGACACTAGAGTTTATTTGGGAAAATGTTTTGGAGATGACAAGACTGGGGGTGGAGGGATAGCTTGGGGGACCCCAGAAATGCCATAATGGGTGCGATGAGAGGCGAGGACTGGGGCAACGCTGCCTCTGACACCTCTCCTCCACCTCTGACCTTCCTTCCTTTCAGCGTTACCACCATGGCCGGTTCCAGACTAAACATCACTGGGCCTTTGGGCCCGGCTTCCCGGCCCAGCCCTCCTCCCCAGTCTGTCCTTCACACTGCTGCCTTTGCTGCCTTTCCAAAGCACCAACACGAGAGTGTCAATTCTCTTCTGGAAAAGCCCCAGTGAATGCGTTTGTCTTCCCTGTCCCCTCCCACATCTGACTCTAACCTGCCGTACCTGTCAGTTCTCCGCCCTTGACCTCCTCCCAGCCCACGCAACACCTGCCTTCACGGCAGCCTCTTTCGAACCTTCTATTGCGACGCAGGACCCTTTGTATGTACGTTCACGTAAAAGTGCCACATGTTGCTGGTTGTGACCCATTAAACTGATTTAATGACTCACAACTTAGTGTTTGAAAAACTTTGGTCCAAACTCATCAAACTATCTGGATTCCTCAGGCAAGAGCCTCCATGCCTCTCAGCCTTCTTTCATGCTGTTCCCTGTCTGGAACGCTATTCCTCCATTTAGCCAGATGAACTGCCACTTGCCCTATGAAGCGTCCTGTGAGTTCCACCCCATTTACCTGCCTCCTGTCCCCGCCGTTACTCAGTCTGCTCTGTGCTTTCTCAGCACTTTGCTCTGCCTGCCTGGTATTTGAATTAGCAGTGTCTCTTGGCTGTCACCTTGGACAGTGAGCTCCCTGAAGGCAAGGATTTAGTCTTTACTCTGTCCCACCTCAATACAGTGAGCTGTGTGCAGGACGGGCTCAACAAGTGTTTTTGACAAATGTCAAAAATGCATCTGGTTTTGAACTACACTAAGTCAAGGGTGGTGGATGGAGTAAAATCAGGAGGCAGCTAAGCAGCTCTAGAAGCGGGGGAGGGACACGGGGTCAGCAGCTCACCGGGGTGCGGATGACGTCAAGCAGGACCTTGTCACGGTAAATGCGAACCTCTCCATTGGCCAGCCCAGCCAGGACAGCCTGCAGGCCCCGAGAGCGCTGCTCCATGAGGTTCATGGTCAGGATGGTTGCAGGCATCTGCACTGTCCATAGCTTCTTACCCTGGGGTGGGGGAAGGGACAGCTGAGTTTCTTCCGAGGCCTTAGGGGTTAGAATAGAAAAGGGGTGGCTGGAATTGCTGGGTGGGGGACACCAAAAGGGCTCGCCTGCTAGAGGGACCTGGGAGACACAGGTGGAGGGGTGGGGGTGGTTCTTGCCCGAAGGCCACACCTTGTGGGTGAAGCCATGCAGGCTGTCTTGGGTGCTGCCCACCACCAGGACCTTGTGGATCCGGACAAGCCCCACAGGCTGGGCACTCAGCTCGATGCAGTACTTGGGGCACTTGGAGTCCCTGAGGAGCAAAGACAGGCTCTCCCAGCCCAGGGCAACCCTTTCTCCTTCCCCGGCTGACTCTCCTCTTTCTAAGCCCCACAGACTATCCTGGAAGGAAGCCTGGCCCCAGAGCAGATGACCACGGTATTATTTCCACCTGTACCACCTACTAGCTGCATGACCTGGGTAACATGAAGTGCGTTCTCCTTCCTGGTGTCCCTCCTGCCTTCAGTACAGTGATCTGTATGGTCACCTGGCAGTTATCAGTTTACACTGAGTGCGGCCAGAACGAGTGCTAGCAGACTTGGGCAGCTGAGTAATTAATCGTAAGAGCACCAGATACTGCTCTGTGTAAAAGCACCGTCTCCGCTTCCTGGCCTCGGAATCTTAGTTTCTCTTATCCAGAAAGTAAGCGGAGTGCCTGCCTGCCTGCCAATCACAGGCTATGGCCCGCTGTTCTTCCTCACCAAGCCTAGGCCAATGTCCCATCCCAGCTCCCAAGTCACCCGAGAGTCTCCCACTGGTCTCTGGGCCTCCCTCCAATCTGCACTCCACCCAGCAGAGAATCTCTTAAAGATGTAAATGGATCACCTCATTCCTCTGATCAAGATTCCGTAGCAGCTTTCCACTGCACTTCAGACAGAATCCAAAACGTTTCCTTCATCCTAACCAGTCCTGCACAAGCCAACCAGGTCTCTGCGTGGCCTCTGCACCCTCCTCGGGGCCCTCCTGGCTCGAGCAGCACATGCCAGCGCCTCCCACCTTGAGTCTGCGGAAGGCCTCTCTGCCTACAGCACTCTTCCTGTGCTTTTTGAATGACTAGCTCCTTCTTCCCCTTCAAGTCATCAGCACGATCACCCTGACCCCATTATTTTTCCCATTGAGCCCGTTTTTTCCTCCACTGAGCACGTCCAATTTGCAGTATTATCTTGGTTTGTTGACTTCAGTATCTATATTCTCATGAGGGCAGGAGCTATGTTTATTTTTTTCCTCAGGACCTTATTCAATGCTTAATTTGGGCTCAAAAATATTACTGAATTAAAAATGAATGTTGTAGGAATATCAAACTACTGTGCTGGGAAGTGTTACATACCTACACAGCAATATAATGATTATGAGACATTTTTATTTCTTGCATTTTCCGGCTGCATTGCTCACAGGTCACAGCCACCAGCCCGGTCTCGCACTTGGCCAACCCCGTCTATAGGCCTTCAGATACCCCATGCTCCTGGTTCAGCCTATGCGACCTTCTCCTTCCTTTCCCAAATTCGAGCCCCCAAGCCCCTCCTCATCTTGCAAACCCCTGAAACCACCAGGTATCTGAGGTGTCCCTTCTGGCCCGGAGACCACGCGTGGCTACCTTCTCAGGATACAGATGTTGCCGTTGCGGCAGGCAGCGGTGAGCCGGAACTCTACGTCGAACTGGCCAGAAACCTCCAGGAAGACAGGGACGCTGGGTAGGTTCATCTGCAAAGAGGAGGTACCAACATCCCATTTTCTCTGGAGCCCCACTCCTTCCCTACCTTGAAGGAACCCACTCCTTTAAGCTGGTTCCTTGTCTAAAGTCCCAACCTCCTCACTTATACACCCTGCAGGTCAGTTTAAACTAGTACAGATTTTCCAGAGGGAAACTTGGCAACATGTGGCAAACACCTCTGACTAAACTATGCCACTTCTAAGGAACGTATCCTAAGGCAATATTTAGATAAGCGTGCAAAGATGTTTGGGCAAGACAGCCTGTCACTGTGGTGCTAGTAACAGTAGGCACTGAGAACAATTTAAAGATACGACAGGTGACAGAGTCAGTGACGGATGCACATCTGTACAATGCACACTGTACGGCGCTGGAAAGATGGGTGTGGAAAAGACAGACGTGCTACTGCTCCGTGAAAAAAGGAGGTTACATGGTCCTGCACTGCAAGGCCATTTTTGTAAAAAAAAAAAAAAAAGTTATCTGTGTCTAAACATGAAACTGTCAGAAAAGACATGATGAAACTTTAATAGAAGATATCTGTGTGTGGTGGGATTTCTGGATAAATATTTTTTTGTCATGCTTATCTGTGTTTTATGATTTTTCTACAGTGAATATGCTTTCCCAGGAACTGGGCGCAGGAGATGTGGGAGAACGGAGGGCGGAGTGCGGCCTGGGCTTCAGGTGTGCCCGGGGTCAGGCCCCACACTGACCTTGGCCAAAATGGTGAAGGCCTCCGGGTCCAGCACCAGGAGCTCCTTGTTCTCAGTGCCCAGCACCAAGCAGGACACAGCATCCTCGTCGGCCAGGTTCTTCTTTAAGGTGGTCATAGCGGTAATGACTGTCTGCAGAGGGACTCTGGGGGTCACCTGTGGGTCCCCGCCCCACACTCCACTTCCCCCAGATGCCCCAGGACACCATGGAAAGGAAGAGGGTAAAACCAGAGGAAGAGTATCAGAGGTGCAAAAGGATATCTATGTACAGAGGTGTTTACTGCAACAAATCTAACTTTCAAAAAAAATAAGATGATCTAAGTCAATTATGAAGTATCCACATGATCCTAAACCATGCGGACATTTAAAAAAATCACATCTTAAAGGAAGACTCGATGATGGGGAGAATACTTCTCATGTGTTAAGAGAAAAAACTAGTTACATCGGTATGATCCCAGTTTAAAACATATGAACAGAAAAACATGCTGAAAGGCTAAACCCTTAGACACAAACACCGGTTCTCTCTGGACACTGAGACCACAGGCGACTTTCAATTTCTTCATCGCGCTTCCCTGTCATTTCTACGGCAGGCACTTGTTCCTTTTGTAATTGCAACCGGAGAAAAAACAAAAGAGAAGGTATGATCCCCTTTTTAGAAAATTCTCCTTGGAAAGAATTTAGCAGGACCAAAATGTTTCTCTGGATAAAGCTGTTCATCGAGTTATTATCTTTGAGATGAACGAGGGGGAATCATTCTCACAGCCGTAAGGAGAAAGGTTAGAGAAACGTGGAACTCAGTGACTCTCAATCAGGAAAGCATGATGTGCCCGTGGAAAGATTCCCCCGCCCCTCGGCTGCACCCGCTGAGCAACAGTTAGCTCACTTCAGAGACAAGTGCTCAGAGACACTGGCAGCTGTAGGTCTGAGCTGCTGGTGAGCAGGAGGGAACAGAGTTTCTCACAGAACTGGTCTGAGACCAGCCAGAGGCTGCGGATTGTGTTAGGCAACGTGGCGGCTCCCGTGGAGCTTTCTCATCTGCAGAGAACAGCTCAGGGCGTCAGTCCTGGACTAAGGGTCAGCCCTTAGGTCAGGGACCGCTCAAGTCCACCAGTAAATAGGTTCAAAAATAAAGCCATTAAAACTGTAACTAAGAAAAATATGAAGTGAATAAAATGCACACATTTCTGGTTCAACAACTGCATGTAATTACATAAACCCTGAGTGAAATAAAGAATAATTAATGAAATAATCAAGAGGCCACTAAAAGTGGAGTTCTTTTTTGTGTGTGAATTTTTTAAATTGTTGTTCAAGTACAGTTGTCTCCATTTTCCCTCCATGACTTTCCCTGGCCCCACTCACCCCTAGAAGTGGAGTTCTTAAAGACTCTTTAATGCTTGCTACATAATATTATGTGCTGAGGGGAAGCAGAATATATTATAAAAGCATATTTATGAAGGAAATACACCAAAACAGTAAGATCGAGTACCTCTGGGTAGTGAGATTAGAGTCACTTATACTTCTCTTTATTTTCCAAATTCTCTCTAATGAGAATATACCACCTTTACCTTCAAGTTCTATGGTTCTACAACTACAGGTCTACTCCAAGCTGTCGCTGTTAACTCAGATGCAGCAGGCCCTGCATGCTGCTTTGCCACTGCATCCACGTGGCACGGGTTGGAAAGGAAGCTGCAAAGTGAAACTAGACAGGTTTGGTTGTAGAATTTACCACTGATGTTACGTGGTTGTAGGAAATTATCCATCTTTTTTACAGGGAAATAAAAAGAGAAGGGGCAGTACCTGACGTTTGAGGGTCTTGGACTTGTGCTGGTTCACAAATGCCTCCATTTCACTGAGATCCAGCTGCAGAAACCTGGCCAAAGAGAGAACTGGCATCTGCGTGCCCGGGCCTGGCTGCTCCCTGCCCCCCAGAGCTTCTGGAGCCCTGGCTCTCCAGGGGGCCCTTACCTGAGCGACTGTACAGACAAAGGCACCTCTGCCTTCTCCCTGCAAAAAGAGATGATAGTGGCAGTTTGAGGAACAGGGCCCTGGGGTCGGTCAGACCAGGAGCTCTGGGATGCCAGAGTGGGGCAGGGGGAGGGAGGGGTTGAGGCGTCTGAAGGGGAAGGTGGGTTCTCACCGGATGCCCTCCAGCATCTCCTTCAGGGTCAAGGGGTCTATCCGGTCCTGCACAGCAGGGGAAGAAGGTAATACCTGTGAGCTCCAGAGCCAGGCAAAGAATGAGGATGAGGGGCTGCCATCTTTGCCTTCTTGTCGCCCATGTCACTTACCTCCTTGGCCTGGTTCCAAAGATCTTGTTCCAGGGGGTTTAAAGGCAAATGGGGCAGGCTGAACTTGAAGTAGGGCCTGAGATTCTTATACACATACACACAAGGGCCAGAGGCCAGTGCCAGAGCTGGAGTCCGGGGCTCGTGCTGATCCATGAGGAAGGTGGCAGCAGCAGCCGGTAGTGCAGGTAGGGGGCTTTCGGTCAGCACCTTGGGTCCTTTGAGCACCTTCAGACAGGACTGCTGCCTGCCGGGGCCAAGGTCCCCCACCACCAGCTGCAGAGAGAGGCTGGCTTACTCTAGGTTCAGGGTCTAAAGACCTTAACCCCAACCTTCTTGGGCTAAGTCTTTCTGCTGATGTACATTTATTTCTTCCCACTCCAGTGTCCATGGGGAGAGGAGGGTGACAACAAATGCTTTGCAGTAAGGCTTTCAAGTTCTGTGACCTCAGCAAAGTTGATTAAACTTCCCGAGCCTCATTTTTCCCACCAGACAAATGGAACTATCTACTTCATGACACTTGTAGTGAAAACCAAACGAGTAATGAATTACAGAGCCTGGTGAGTCCTAGTGCAGAGCAGGTGGCAGCTGATATTTTCATTGTCCGTTCAGTAAACATTTTTTTCAGGGCCTGCTCCATGCCAGGCACTGTTCTACACACTGGCACAGTGGCCGAGGCCAGTGGGACGCTGAAATTCATATCTGGGCTTCTGAGGCCTGACTTCCAAATGGGAGCAGAGCTAAGGAAGCAGAGGCCAGCACACAGAGCAGATATGAACTGGGGACACGGGGGCCAGAACCGAGCCCCACGGTCTCAATTTTTCAGTCTCCAACCCATCCTCCAGGCCACTGCAGTTGCTGTGCAAACCCACTCTCCTCACCAAGGCCTTCCAGGCCCCCGGATCTGGTTCCCAACTTGTTTTCCATCATCTTCCCATCCACACTGTGCTCCAGGCAGAACAGAGGCTGCACAGAATGTACAGTGTGCTAGGAGCCACACCAGGAACTTCATTTAATCCTCTAGACAACCTCTGAGGCAGGTACTACTATTAGCCCCCATTTCACAAAGGAGGAAGCTGTGGTTTAGCGACGTAAGTAAAAGTAACACAGCCAGTAAGTGGCAGAGCTGGGGCTGGAACTTAGGTCTAACTCCAAAGCCAGTGGTCTTAACTACTATTTTACACCAGCCTCAACTTTCTTTTTTTTTTAAGATTTTATTTATTTATCTTTAGAGGGGAAGGGAAGGAAAGAGGGAGAGAAACACCAATGTATGGTTGCCTTTCATGCATCCCCTGCTGGGAACTGGCCTGCAGGGAACCGGCCTGCAACCCCGGTATGTGCCCTGACTGGGAATCTAACCGCGATTGTCTGGTTTGCAGGCCCGTGCTTAACCCACTGAGCTACACCAGCCAGGGCCAGCCTCAACTTTCTAATTCCGAATTTATTCTTTCCAAGTCTGCTATGAACTTCCAAGCCTCTGTGCCTCTGCTTGTCATGTTTGGTTGCCTTTTGCCTCTTTTCTCCGGTGCTTTCTTGACATACTTCGTTCATCCTTCAACGCCTACGTCACATGTTATGGCCTCTCCAGATAGATCTCATTCTTCTCCCACTGGTGCTCCCACAATACTTTCCATACATTCTACTTGAGCACCCATTCCTTTACCCCACAAATATTTATCAAGTGCCTAATTTGGGCCAGGCACTGGACTATGTGCCAGGACTCAACAGTAAACAATCTAGCCATTAAGAAAGTTATCACACCAAAGCGTTTAACATGTCACATTAGTAAGTAGGTCTGATTTCTCTACCCTTCACTGCTGTAACATCATCACCAAGCACACACTAGGTGTTCAGTTGCTATCGTGGATCTGTAATCTCCATTACAGTAGGGTATGATCCCTGGGCTATCTTTTAGCTGCCCACCTAATAAAGCCCCTAGTGGGTTCACTGCCCATGGCGAAAGTTGAGCTATAGTGGAACAAACACATAACTTGGAAACTGACAGAGCCAGGTCTGCCACTTTTTAAAAACTCAGTAAACTTAGCCTGATTCCGTTTTCCCATGAACAAAATGGGGATCAATAGTATCTGTGTATGAGAAAACGCCTCAAAGAAGGTCTTATCTAGAAATGGACATTCAATATATGTTAACTTCCTTTCTTAAGCCCAAAATATTTTTTCAACCTTTTTTAAAACACTGTGTCTTTAAAACTTTTATTTCTTTATTTACATTTCTCTTTATATTTAAATTTGATCTTTTATTATGGAAAAATTTCAGTCATATACAAACCTAGACAGATTTGTATAATAAACCCCCAAATACCTACCATCCAGCTTCAAAAATTATCTGCTTGGGGCTAATCTTAAAATCGTTGCCCTCTTGATAAACATAAAAGTCATTTCAAGTCTCTTCTACTTCCCTTCCAGATTCTAACACCTTGCATACAACCAAAAGATGCGCCTGCCCTTCCAGCAAAGAATGATGTCAAGTTAACAAAATTAAGAGGCTTTGTCTTAGTTAAATCCCCAGCAACAACTGTTCTGCTTTACTTTCTGCAGTTTGTATTATGAAATCTCTGGTTCTCTTCACCTTCCACATAAAGATAAAATTTAACATTAAGTGTGCTTTTTTAGAGTACCCATGAATTCCAGATTTATGCTGAGCTTCTTTGCAACCACCAGGAAATCTCGATTCTGGTATTTCTCCCCCAATTCTCTTTCTGCTAGGGTGTTACACTTACCTTGTACTCCCCGTCCCCATGCAAATCTGCCAGCGCTGGAAAACACAAAAGGGCCATGAGCCAGGGTGTCTGAATCCCAGAGGCTTTTCACTACAGAACCGTTTCTGACTCCTCCGTCTCCCCAGACCCCGTTCCTGACTCTCCCGTCTCACCAGATTCCAGGTCTCGGGGACTCACCCAGGCAGGAGGAAAAGGTGTGGATGTTGGCCTTGGGGTCGTAGTGCGCATCCAGCCATTTCGAACTGGCCTCATTGCTGGGACAGGAGGGAAAAGGTTGAGGAGTGAGTACCAAGGAAGGGGAAGAAAACTTTGAGGAAGCTGGTCTCTGTGAGCGAGGTGTGTGTGCAGCTCTGTATAGAACGTCTGGGTCCAAGTTCAGGCTCTACCACTGGCGCAGTGACTTCGACACCCATCCCCCCCACCCCCAAAGACCGGACTTCGGTTTCCCCATTTGATCTCTACCAAAAAGCCAGCGCTTTTCAAGAACCGCAGGAGCCCAGATCAGGGGGACCAGGGCACCCTCTTCACATTTGTAGGAAAGGAGACCCCGAGGATCCCAGTCTCCACCTTTCAGCTCGGCCGCTGTCGGAATCCGACGAAAGCGCCGCAGCCATCTTCACAGGCGTCGCCCTGGCAACCAGCTAAAGCCGGCCGCCGTGCAACACCCAAGAGCTCCGGGTTCGGGAAAGCCAGTATACAAAGGTTCCGGGCGCGCAGCTTTCCCACCAGGGTCTGAGAATCCTCCTTGTAGGATGTGCTGGCTTCTCTGCTGGGACTATGCTGGCAGAAGCGCCGACTATCACCTGTTTGTATGATTTATATTTACTCCTACCCTGCCGCAGCATCTGGGCCCCGTAATCTCTGGGTCAGCGGCGGGGCGCTTTGGCTTCAAGCCTGGAGAGGGGCCCTTCCAGTGTTTATGAGCAGCGAAAGTAACTCATCCTCTCTTCAGGTTGAAAAGGGGCCATGTCCTTTCTTCCTGTCGCACTCAAAGGTCCAGGCTCAGAACAAACACAAGGCGCTAGAGATTAAATCCTAGTATTCTGACTGAAGTTGATGGTTTTCAATTTTTAGGCTCCTGGAATTTTTCAAAATACAAGATACGGCAGAAAAGAAGACTGCAAAACTCGTGTTTTGTTAATTTTTGTAACTGTGTGTGTATCCTTAGAGGTAATGTCAACATCCTGTTGTGGATGGAAGCCTAAAAGTGACCCTCCTGCTCCCTCTCCAGGCCTTGATCCCACTACCCTGCCAGGAGCAAAAGACAAGGAGAAATTGATCAAAAGGCAAAGATGGTGGTTGTTTCTAATATTTATTTTTCTGTAAAAGTAATACATGAAGAGCACAGGGAGAGATGTTGGGTCCTGCCGGCTCTAGTCAGGTCACTTCTCAGAACTTCCATTTCCTCCTCTGTCATGCAGGGTAAGGCACCCTGCCTTGCCCACTCCACAGAGTGCAGCACAGATCACATGAGATAACACGCAGAAGCACTTGGTAAAGTGGAAAGTGCTGACAAATGGAAGGGGTTAGTGTCACCACCCTCAGCTGAGGTAGCACCAAGGCCCGAGCTCCTGCCCCTCACCCAGCCCCTAATGCACACACAGAAATGGGGCCACTTGCAGCCTTGGTTTGATGGAGTCGGGGGAGGAGCTGTACAAATCTGCTTCAAGTCTGGCCAGATGGGGCCTCGCTGGGGCCCTTCCAGAACTGGGCATCGGCTGTGGCCAGCTGGGTGAGGACCTCTTCCAGCTCGGGCCCATCCTCCGAGAAGCGCTCCGAGAAGGATCGGATGAGGCCAGCGGCTGAGGCCTCATACTCAAGAAGCTGCACTTCGGAGCCTGGGGGGGACATGGAGAGAAAACAGCAGCAGAAAAAGGTCTTAACAGGGAAGCATCATTATTATTATTACCATCACCATCACCATCGCCATCAGAGCAGCTGCTTCTTCCGGGACTCTTACTATGTGCCAAAAATTGGGCCCCGTGCCTTAGGTTTATTATCTAATTTCATCCTTACAATAACAATGTAAAGAAGGAAAGATGAGAGGGGGAATATTTAATGAGTGGTTGCATTCATTCATTCATTAATTCACTTAATAAAAGATTTATACCAGGGGCCATGTTAGGTGAGAGACACAGCCCTTGGCTTCCAGGAGCTTACAGTCCAGCAATTGCTTCACCTCCATCCACTGTGGGAACTTGGGCAAGTTTCTCAACCTCTAAGCCTCAGTTTCCTCATCTGTAAAGTGGGGGCAAGCACAGTATCTCTTCTCTCAAGAAGCTGTAGTGATCAATACAATAATGCACTGTATTGATCTGAATACAGTGTACATTATTGATCAGAACAGAGTACTATTGTACTCCTGGGAATAGTGTTCAGGAGTACTCCTGAATACTCCTGGGAAGCATTTTTCTCTAACGCACATCCACTGCTCTATCCACCCACAGCACCTTGCTGCGTTCTCTGGCATTGTGGGGCATACAGAGCTAAGAACACAAGCTTTGGGTTCAGATGTCCCAAGTTCAAATTCCGGTTCTGCTACCCACTAGTTATGTGACCTCGGGCAAACAGAGAATCCCTGTGTCTTAGTTTCCAGCTAAAAAATGGGGATAATCATGTCCTCATTGGGATGATGGGAGTTAACCCATGGAAAGTTTTCATTCAGCGCCTGGCAGATGAAAGTCCTCAGAAGTTAGCCAGCATCACCATCAACACTACCTTCGGAAATCCAACCTGTCCTTCAGGGCTCGTTCAGTCACACTTCCTCCCCAGAACCTTCCCTGACTCCCTTGAAGGTGAATGTGATCTCTCCTCCACCTGCTCAAACCACTGTTTGTGTCTCCTGGGCACTCATTAAGGCCTTCCTAGTGGGCTGCTAAGTACTTGAGGAGAGGGTCTGGGTCCAATTCACTTCTTGATCCCCAAAGGCTCCTACAGGGCTGGACAATCAAAGTGATGACAATATTGTCCATGTAGTGAGCACTTACTATGTACCCGGCATGATTCATTCATTCACTCTTTTGACAGGCATGGAGCTACTCCTGTGTGCCAGCTGCAGGAGGTGTGCCACTCCTGCTGTCATGGAGACGAGACAGATGGGAAAATGGCAGAGTGATGGGTGAATGAAGAAAATAAAGCTGAGGGATAGAATACAGGGCCTGAAGGGATTACTACAGACTAAGGGGTCAGGGATAGCTTCTCCCAGGGGATGCCATTTAACAGAGACCTGAATGATAAGAAGAGCGAGCCAGACAAAGATCTGCGGGAGGACCAGGCCAATCAGAGGGAACGGCAACTGCAAGGGCTACAGGAGTGGAGCTTGCTCAGGGGGTTGGAGAAATGGAAAGGCCCACGCACCTGGAGGGCAGTGAGTCAGGGAAGAGGGTTGCCTGCGGAGGGAGGGCAGGGAAGGGCTGGGGTCAAATCCCATGAGCCTTTGGAGTGCAAAGAAAAGAGTTTAGGATAAGCCTCTTAAATGCTTTTTCCTCATTAAATTTGACTCTGGTCTCCTCCAGTATAAAGCTGTCAGCCTTGAGCAATTTATTCTCTGGGCCTCAATTGCCTTATCTGTAAAATGGGGACAACAAATCACCTACCTCATTGAATTACTATGGGGATTTAAAGGGTTAATCAACCCCAGGAAGCACTTAGAACTTGGAGGAAGTACTTACCATATTTTACCTGGTATAATGCACACTTTTTTGCCCCAAATTTTTAGGGCAAAATAAGGATGCACACTATACATGAGTATAGTAATAGATATAATAATTAATCCCACGTACAATACACAAAAACATAGCTGTGCATTATACACAGGAGCGCATCATACACGGCAAAATACAGTAACTCAGGCTCCCTGCAGGGTCAGCACACATCAACACTGGCTTTATGAACAAATACACCCAAGTCCGGAACGGTCAAGTCACCAGGACAAGGTCTCGAGCAGTTCTGAAGCTCAGGCTCTCCCCACCGACTGGCCCCACCTCTTCCCTGGTGCCTCCCGGACCAGATGCAGGAGACACAAGTCAAGGGGTGAGGGAAAGTGAAGGCGCCAAGGTGCTGGGACCCCAACGGCTTGTAATACAAAAGATCCCAGTGCAATGCAGCCCGGGTCAGGGCTTCTGGGAACGGAATCGTCACTTGAAAAGGGAGAGGGACCACAGGGCTACTGATATCTGTCCTGGCTCGGCCGAATCACATCGTCCCCAGGCTTCCACTTGGTCTGCTGGGTCCCAGCTCACTGCTCGCCCTGACCACTCCTGGCACTCCAGGGCGAGGTCTGATTCTCTGATACCATGTCTGGCCCCCTGGGGCCTGTTTGTTCCACGAGCCCCTGCTCTGCTGGCCTTTCTCAAACCTTCTGTTACCATCTTACAACCAGCATGACTGTGGGTACAGTGGTAGTGATGGTGGCGGTGGCGGACACCAAGGTTTTGGCCTGAGGTTTGGCATGAGGAGAACTTCAGCCTGGAGAGAGGCAGGAGTCACCACAAGTAGCCTTCCCTGAGCCCCTGGGCTGCTCGAGGCCACCTCTGCAAGGTCTCCACCGAAGGGGACTCAGGAGTCCGTTACCTTCGAGGCGAGTGTTGGGCTGAACAATGAGCTTCCGAGATTCCTTGCGGAGCAGCACCGTGTCCCTGAGGGTGAGGAAGCACTCGGGGGGTGCGTCAGTGACAGCTGCATACCCCTCATACAGGGCCCGGCCTCCGGCCACATCCCCCGTGGACTTCAGCACCTGTGGGAAGCAGAAAAAGTCAATGCCTAAATGGGTGCCCACCCTGCGCTCACAGGGCTCTACTGGGGCCACAGCCAATGGCGCCCAGCCCTGGAGCGCATCTGGTCTTAGTGTGGCTGTGCTGAGTAAGAGAAATGCAGATCAAGTGCTTAGCACATAGTAAGTGCCCATTAAAATATATAGTATATATGTTACGAAGAATAAGATACCGCACACACATTGATGTTTCTCTCCCTCGTTTTCTCCCTCTCTTCCCCACTGTCTAAAAATAAAATAAATTAAAATCTTAAAAGAAAAGAAAAATAACGGCTCATCAGTGATCCTCAAACTTTGTTAAGGGTCAGAACCACCTGGCAGACTAGTCAACACGCAGAGCCCCAGACTCTGCTCCAAGAACTTCAGAATCAGCAGGTCTGGGGTGGGATCCAAGAATCTGCAAGATCTGCAAGAATCTGCACTTCTAACCAGCTCCTGGGTGATGCTGGTGCTGCTGGTCCACAGACTGCACTTCATGTCGCATGACGTGGAACACATGACATTCTATTAGATCAGATCCGGAGGCACATTGTTCCATGGAATCCCTGCCATGTGAGGCGGGCAATGTGTCCCATTGGACAGATGAGACGAGTGGGGCCAGGGAGAAGCATGCTGCCCCAGTTACAAGGCTGGCGAGCACTGGCATCAGAACCCCAGAAGGTATCCCAACTCTAAGCACCCCCACCTGAGCAGAAGGCAGGGCCATGCTGACAGCTGTCCCTTCCCCCGGCACTCACCGAGCTCTAGGACTCCTTCCTTCCCTCAACCCAACAAGCTCATTCTAGTCCTCGGACCAGACTTTGTGCTTTCTGTTTCCTCTGCTCTCACAATTTCTTGGCACTCAAATGCCAATTCAAATACCACCTCCTCCAAGAAGCCCTCCACGATCAGCCAGGCTGAGAAGGCTCCGCAATCTCATTGGCTATCACATCTCTGCCACCTCAATTTGCCCTCCAATCTCACATCACCCAGTTTTGTTGCCTTTACAGCTCATGTCATGATCCGTAATTATCTTGTTCATGTACTGTTAACAAATCTGTTGTCTACCTGCCCTCACTTCCAGGTAAGAAACTGCTCACAGCTTATTCTGGTGCCTGGCATACGGTAAATAACGCTCAGTATGCAGACTCACAGAATGAATGAGTAAATGGGTGACTATGAGGCAGTGGTAGAAGGTGGGGAAATAGGGTGAGGCTGGAGGGGGCCCACGGCAACAGGCCTCTGCTTACCTGGAGTCTTCGTAGGAACCGCTCCAGGGCGGGCTTGCCCACTGACCGAATCTTGCTGCGGTCAAGGCGGACCCGGGCATCCGGGCGTCCATCGGAGCCTGTGATGGGAGTGACGGTAACGAGTCCCTCGCCAGCCTCCAGCAAGACCCTCAGGATCACAAACCGGGCCTGCATGTGGGCCTGCAGGGGCCGAGGACAAAGGGACCAAACACTCAGTCCGACGCCTGATGTATGGCATCCGTGCTGCTGAGGCAGGCACCGGAGGCCTGATGTATATAGTATGTGCTCATTAACTATCAAGTATTCTTACTGTTTCATTCTCTCCTTTTCTGCTAATTCCTCTTCCCTCAAATGCCCCCTCCTTACTCTGCTCATATGGAAAGACAGGCTTCCCTGGAGGACAAGGAAGCCATTTCCCCCAATAGCCATTATCCCCAAGTAGCTTCACCACGAGGACCCCAAGCACTTTCTCCTCCACATTCTTGTTTGCATTCAACAGAGGGGTGAAGAGGGCATCATTATCCCAGTTTACGGATGACAAAACAGAGGCCCAGAGAGGTAGAGTGACTTGCTGAGGATCACACAGCTGCTAAGGGACAGCAAGGACTCAGACCCAGGTTTCCTGACTCTAAAATGCCTGTTCTTTTGATGACATAATATTCCCTCCTTAAAGTATGCATTTGGCTGTTTAAAGCATTTTTAAAAAGATTTTATTTATTTATCTTTAGAGGGTAAGGGGAGAGGGAGAAAAATGTCAACGTATGGTTGCCTCTCGTGCGTCCCCTGATGGGAACTGGCCTGCAACCCAGGCATGTGCCCTGACTGGGAATCAAACTGCATCCACACTCAATCCACTGAGCTACACCAGCCAGGGCTAATGCATTTCTATTGCTTACCCTATTTCCAAGGTGCCTGTCATAACGGGGCGGTCTAGCCGGAAGCTCTGGAGGCACACTGCTTGGGTCTGAATCCTGGCTGTGCTACCCACCAGCAAGTTACTTCATCTCTTTGTGCCTCAGTCCCCTCATCTCTAAAATGAGGGTAATAATAGTATCTACCTCCTGGGGCTTATTCTGGGAACCAATGAGTCAATTCGTGTAAAGTGCTTAGAACTGGGCCTGGCGCACAGTAAGTCCTGTGCAAGTCAACTATTAGGAGTTGTAGTAAAATCATCTCATCTGATCTGCCCTCAAAGGTGGGCAGGGAGGTTATGCTCCCATTTCGCAGTGAGGGACCCTGAGGCTCACAATAGTGATGTGACTTGTCCCCATGCATGAAGTCCAAGATGAAATCCAGTTTGTGGGCCTCTGCCTCCCTCTACCGTCCCTCTACCTAGAATCTTGATCTTGGCCCCCATCTCAGGCTCCCCATTCCTGAGGAACCCCCTGGGGCCCCACCTGTCTCCAGTTGGAGGCCTCGGGGGTGTAGAACTCCAGAGCCAGCAGGCCGGCCCGCACCATGTTGAGCCAGTTCACGTAGATCACATCTTCTGCGTCAGCCCCCTCAAAGCCAAAGATCCTAGGGGGAGGAGAGGGAGGTGGCAGGGGGGTTCCGGGGATGCCTGGGCCCTGCCCTCCATGCCGGCACCTCCTCCGCCCAAAGAGGCCCGCCCCACGCCTGCTGCAGCTGCTGCTCCGTACTCCAGCACTTGGGGGTGGAGGCAGAGGTAGAGGCCCACGCTCTCAGCCCGGCACTCTTCGTAGCTGGAGGCGATGGTGCTGAACTTGCTGTCCCAGGTCTCCCCGCTCCGGTACCAGCTCTGAATCTGGGAGGGGAGGCCCAGGAAACAGGTTTAGGGGAGGCTGCCACCACACCCATGCTCACCCTCCCAGCACCCTGGGGCTCCGCTGAGGCCACCCTTACCTGCTCCCCTGTCTCCGGGTTGACCACAGACTTCTGGTCAAAGTTGAATGCTCCTTTCTCATCCTGCAGGAGAAGGGTCATTGACATGGGGTGGGTGAGGAAGAGGTGTCCATGCCCAGGTCCAGGCCTTCAGGAGTGGCTCAGAAAGGCGACCAGGAGCCAAGAGTGGAAAGCAGGTCCATGGACATACTGCTGCCTCCAACCCCGAGTCCTGGGACACCGGCTACCCTCTCAGAGCCCGCAGGAGGCTGAAGAGCCAGGGTCCCTGGCCCTGGCACAGAAAGGGGAGGGACTTGTCCAAAACCACGGGAAAACCTGGACCCAGTATCTCCAGATGCCAGCCAGAGAAGTCCCAAGTGAGGGCCAGAGAGCCTCGCTGCTCCTCCCTGTGGCTCCCTAGTCCGGCTCCCGGTGCCGGCAGAGGCCCCAGCATGTGTTTGTCTACCTCGAGCACGCATCACCCTCACCAGGCTGTCCGTGTGCTAAGCATCTTTCACGCATCATCCATTTAATCCTCACAACCACCCTCCGAGGAGGGTTGTACTACTACCCCACTTCACAGAGGAGGAAACCGAGGCCCAGAGACTCAGACACCCCGCCTGTGCACACTGTCCCTTAATAAGAACACACATTTGCTAAGGGCCTCCTTTGCCCAGGGCTTTGCTATGATTGCTCGTAATAGCCTATATACAGCAGGGGTCAGGAACCCCATTTTACAGACAGGTCAACTGAGGCTGAGTGAGGGGAACTGACTTATCCAAGGCCACAGAGTGGCCACATTTATTCCAATTTCCCTGTTACTTCAAAGCCTGGACAAGGCCCGACACCAGGCTGCTCCCCTCACCAGACGCTCTCCGAATCCTCCTGACTCCCCAGCCCAATTCAGAGACCCAGCTCCAGCCCCCCCTTCCCGTTTGGTGGGGCCGCCCCACCCACCAGGAGCAGGCCCAGCACACTCTGGGATGTGCTCCCTCGTCCCCTCCAGGCGGTTCCCCTTGGCAGCTCTGTGCTGGCCATCCTCATAGGCTTTCCTCAGCTTGCGGAAAGCTTATCTGTCCTTTTCATTCTCCCCAAGTGGGTGTTGCGGGGGCTCTGGTCTCTTGGGCCAGCTGGCAGGGAGGGGCTGTTCTGGGGAGACGTGGCTCCCTATAACACCCGAAAAGGCGAGAGCTCCAGGAAGTGTGGTACAGAGACAGAAAGTGCTGCAGCCTCAGGACCAGGAGCACCAGAGACTGTCCCCTGCCAGCCTATTTGTCCCCAGGGCTGCCTGAGTCACACCCCCAGGGCCCACTTCCTTGGCTTGAGGAAGGGGTTCCTCCCGTGTGGCAGTCTGTGGTGGGGGTACCGCAGCTGGACTGTCCTGAAGATCCCATTCAATCCTCGGAGCTTCTGGGGCATCTTGGGAGAGGGTGCGACAGGGACTTCACTACTTGAGGGGCCGTACTTGTTACCTGACCTAAAGCCCTTGAAGGCAACGACTGGAGCAGGGTCCCCCCCACCCCCAGGAAGGGCTGATCCTGGGGGAGGGGAGCTGCAGGCCTGGGCACCGGCCATGTTCTTACCTGCACGAAGAGCTTGCCGCTGCCGTGACCCAGCAGCTCGTGCAGACCCACCTGCACATCAAAGGAGGGCCCCTTCCAGCGGATGTACAGGTCCTGCCAAGACAATCAGAGACTCACACGGGCCACTGCCCCCCCATGGCCACGCAGCCTGCCCAGCCGAGGGCCCATGATGAAACATGTTTGGTAAAGGCCCACGACAACCAGGCTCCACACTGGGCACAGACCGCACGGCCCAGCTCATCCCGGCAACAACCCGGGAGGAAGCGACTGCCAACCCTTCTGACAGGCTCTGAAGTCACAGGTCACAGGTCACATGGCCGAGAAGCGGCAGTGCCAGGTGGGAGGCCGCGCTCTCCCCGACCCTGCACTGGGTCATCTGCCTTGCTGGGTCGGCTGAGGTCAGGCCAGGCCCCACCCTGTTCCTCGAGCTGCGGCCACCCACCTTGTCATCCTCCTCCAAGAAGGTGAGCTTCTCCCGCTGTGTGGCGTAGGCCACGGCCAGCACATTCCCCAGTGACACATTCTTAAAGCCTTCTGTCTGCCTCAGGTCGTCATCTGGAGAGGGCAGGGAGGGGACCAGGGAGAGAAGGGGCAAAGGTCAAAAAGGTCACAGACGAGGGTCTAGACAAGAGCAACAGGCTGGGATGGTGAACTGAACAGGGAAGTTTGGGGCCAGGTGAGTGTATGGAGGGGGAGGGGCAACGCTAAATAGAGGCTCCTGGGGGACTGGGGGCACTGTCATGGCTGGGTGGCTGGGTCCGAGGAGGCTCACAGTTGGGGATGTTGATTCCAGCAGGAATGCCGGAGCCAGCGAAGGTGAGAACATCCAGGGAGGTGAAGTCTGGGGTGAGGAACTTGTCCTTCTCAAAGGCAGGGGGCCAGGGCAGCTCCTTCAGCAGCTGCTCCGCACTGGCTACCAGCCGCTCAAATTTGGCACTCATGGCCTTGTTCACCATGGCCACGAAGCCTGCGGAAGAGAAGGGGCTCTGGGTGGGTTGGGCTTGACCCTTAACCACCCCGCCCCCGTCTTCATGCACACAGTGTGTGCCCGCCTTGTACCAGGACGGTGTGCCAGCCACTGTGAAGAGCGGTGACCCAGGGCTGGGCCCCACCTCCCTGGAGGGCCCCGCCTCCCTCACTAGTCAGGGTGGCTAGCATGGGAGAGAAGGGCTCTGCAGGTTAACATCTCAGATGGATCAGAAGGGGGTTTGCAGGGAGTACGTAGAGGGTGGTGGAGACAGACTGATTCTCAGTGGAAGGGGCTGCAGGAGCAAAGAAGGACACTCTTCTTCTCGGGGCAACTGTGTGCTGTCCTGCCAGGCAAGAGCGTCTGGCTTGTGTGGTCCTCACGGAAAGTGTGTTCTGGGGAGTGCGATGTTGGCAACACTGCTTTGAGCCAGGAGCTCGCACTAAATCTAACAGGCACAGCCCCAGCGCTCCTGCTCAGCAGCCATGAACACGGCGGCACAGGAGAAGGCGGTAAAGGGGATTCACACTTCCTCCTCCAGATCATTCTGCTCCACTCACTTGCAACAAACATGAATTTTTAAGTTACACACACACGTATATGTTTTTAAACACGTGTAGCTCTACATAAAAACGAAAGACAAAAAGTATAGTCCAAATTCTAAGCTTGGGGCGGGCGCAATCACAGTTGATTTTCTCCTGTATGTTCAAAAAATTGTTACCGTGAGCATGGACTACCTTTCTATTTTTTTTTTCTTTCTATTTTTTTTTAACTTTTTTTTTGATTATGCCATTACATTTGTTCTATTTCCCCTCCTCCATTCCCCTCCACCCTGCACACCCCTCCCCCACCATTCCCCCCCTTTAGTTCATGTCCACGTGTCTCAAGTTCTTTAGATTCTATATTTCCCCTACTATTCTTACCCTCCCCCCTATTTTCTATCTACTGTCTATGCTACTTATTTCTGTACTTTCTCCCCCCTTCTCCTCCTCCCACTCCCCTGTTACTAACCCTCCATGTGATCTCCATTTCTATGGTTCACTCCTGATCTAGCTGTCCTCTTAGTTTGCTTTTGTTTTAGATGTGGTTCTTAATAACTGTGAGTTTGCTGTCCTTTCACTGTTCATCCTTTTTATCTTCTTTTTCTTAGGTAAGTCCCTTTAACATTTAATATAATAAGGGCTTGGTGATGATGAACTCCTTGAATTTGATCTTATCTGAGAAGCACTTTATCTGCCCTTCCATTCTAAATGAAAGTTTTGCTGGATAGAGCAATCTTGGTTGTAGGTCTTTGGTTTTCATGAGTTGGAATACCTCTTTCCAGCCCCTTCTTGCCTGTAAGGTCTCTTTTGAGAAATCAACTGACAGTCTGATGGGCACTCCTTTGTAGGTGACTGTCCCCTTATCTCTTGCTGCTTCTAGAATTCTCTCTTTCATTTTAATCTTGGCTAATGTAATGATGATGCTCCTTGGTATGTTCCTTGGTGTGTTCCTTCTTGGGTCCAACTTCTTTGGGACTCTCTGAGCTTCCTGGATTTCCTGGAAGTCTATTTCCTTTGCCAGATTGAGGAAATTCTCTTTTATTATTTGTTCAAATAAGTGTTCCACTAGTGGCTGTTCCTCTTCCCTTCTGGTACCCCTATAATTCAGATGTTGGAACTTTTAAAGATGTCCTGGAGGTTCCTAAGCCTCTCCTCATTTTTTTGAATTGTTTCTTCATCCTTTTCTGTTTGGTCATTTTTTTCCTCTTTCTGGTCCACTCCTTTGAGTCCCAGTTTCCTTTCCATTACTATTGGTTTCCTGTGCATTTCCCTTCATTTCAATTAGTTTAGCCTTCATATGTTCCTCTAATTTGTGACTATAATCAACCAGTTCTGTGAGCATCCTGATCACCAGTGTTTTGAATTGTGCATCTGAAAGTTTGGCTATTTCTTCATCGCTTAGATTTATCAGCTCTGGGGCTCTGAGTTGTTCTTGAGCCATGTTTTGATCCGTTAATGCCTGTTACATAGGAGGGGAGGCGCCTTGGTATTTATCGGGGTGGGGCCACCCAGGTCGCAGGTTTGTCACGCCGTATGTGGGAGCGGGGTCAGAGAGGGAGCAATGGTGGTCCTCTTCACTCACCCAGTCCGCCGCACCGCTTGCCCCTGCCTGCTTATCCGAGCGCAAATGTGTGAGTCTGCCGCCCTTCGCTAGTCACTGAGGCCTGCACAATGCTCGCCTCTTCACTGGTTTATCTGTGTGCAAATGCGCGACCGACCGCAGACAGCCAGCCCCGCCTCTTCCCTGGGTTCCGCCCGTAGCCTGCACCTGGGATCCGCACCCCCGGCTGCCTGTGCAGTGCTGGATCTTTTTATCCAACTGGCTCCACTGCTGGTTTCGCCCTTCTCACCGGATTAGCTGAGTGGTCCGTTGTTCCCAGACTCCGTATTCGATTTTCTGTGTGGTTTGGTTGTGTTTACTGTTGTTAAAATCTTACTATTTTTAGATTTGGTTGTGCGAGGATGAAAAGTGTTCCCACCTGTGCCTCCATCTTGGCAGAAGTCTGGACTACCTTTCTAATAATCACAATGAGTTATATCAGAAATGGGGGTGGCCTCCAAGCTCAAGGCTACTGAGGAGGTGCTCGGGTCTCAGCCCTCAGAGCAGCCCTGGTGAGTCAGGACCCTGGCAGGAAAGCTGTCCCCCCAACCAGGCCCCTGGGCCTCCCGCTCCCTATGGGCTCAGATCCAAGCCCCACCGTGGGCTGGTGGGGCTCTCTTCTCTTCTCCCTGGTTAATCTCTATGGCATCTGGCGGTTGGACGCTCCAGACTCTACATCCAGGAGCTTAGAAAAGACAAGTCTAAATCTTCAGGCTGGATGCCCTGCCTTGCACAGGTGGGCCTTGCGGTGGGTGTAGGCATGGGAGCCGAGCCAGCCTGCCACCAACCCTGGGTTGACAGCAGCCGAATCAAGTTCACAGCTATGCACCCCATCACCCTACCCTTCTATGTGCCTGGCATCGTGCCCAGCGGCGTGCATATAATGCCTCACCCCCCTCCACCTAGAATGGAGTGACAAACGCTCAGAAGTGGCGTTAACTGGCCCAAGGTCACAGTCGGTGAGTAGCAAAGCCAGGCTTGGAACAGACACAGCCCGTGTGTGGACCCTACACTAGAGGCAGCACCAAGTGGCCCAGAGCCAAGGCACCTGGGTTCCGCCACCCACTACTGTGTCTCAGTTCCCACAGCGGTGAAACGAGGCTAGAAACCCTCCCAGGATGATGGTATCTACAGGAGTCGGTACAGGGAGGCACCCACTACATGGTACGTCATCCACGCTGGCAGCGGTTATTGTCATTATTACTGCCAAGCTGGGAAAGGGAAGACCCCTCGGAGGATACAGGGAAAGGGCTTTCAATCTGAGCTCCTGCCTCCCAGAAGGTACCTTCAAACTCTCCACGGGAACCAAAGGGGTCTCGGTAGCTCTCGATGAACCCGATGTAACTAGGGGAGAGAAGGGCAGAGATGGAAGAGGGGTGGGCAGGAGGGCTGGGGTGGGCAGGAGGGCTGGGGTGGGTGAAGGCTGGGTCCCTCACCTCTCCACGATGGGGCCTTTGTCCTGGATCCAGAAGCGGGAGCCCCTCTTGTGGGCTTCGATGGAGCCCTGCGTGAAGCTTTCTATGTACTGGGCCAGCATCTGCTCCTGGTGGCTGTTGGCTGCATACGTCTGGGGGTGAGCAGGCACTGGTCAGCCTCAGGCCACGCTCCCACCCCTACCCACCCCCTTGCTGCCCAGGGGGGTCTGCAGCCCACACACCTTAACCCCCAGCCAGTCCTACCTTGGCTTTCTCCAGGTGCTCCACCACCTTCTGGAGGATGGGCGCATAGTCCCCCCGAGTCACCTGGAAATGGCTCCCCTGGAACTCGTAGCTCTTCAGCCTAGAAGTCATTTCAGAGTCTGGAGCAGACTCTGAAGGGAAAGGCGGACCGCTCAGGCAAGAGGCGAGTGAGTGCGAGACACCTGGCAGGCTCCTCACAGACACACTCTTACTCTAAGCTCTTCCATGGCTGCCCGCTGCCCATTGCTAATACTAACAGAAATTAGTATTAGCTTCCACCTTCAAAAATACACACATTACATGAAATATTCTAAGCCCTTTACAAGTGGCAACTCATTTAAGCCTCAGAGCAGTTCTGGGGAAGAGGGAAATGGCTGTCTCCATCTTGCAGTTGGGGAAACTAAGGCACCAAGAAGTTTAATTAAGTTTTCTAAGGTCACACAGGCAGCAGGTGGTAGAGTGGGATTCAAACCCAGTGCGGCAGACTGCATTTAAAAAATACAGCCGTACCCTAAATGCATGCCAGTGGTCCTTATGGGAGACAAAAGGGTGAATGGGAAGTACATGCGTTGAGGAAGAAAGAAGTCGGCGAGACTCAGGAGGGGTCGTGAGCCAAGGAATGCAGGCAGCCTCTAGAAGCCGAAAGAGGCAAGGAAACCTTGACCCTCCAGAACTGTAACAGAACAAATTCACGTTGTTTTATGCCACTACACTCGTGGCGATTGGTTACAGAAGCAATGGGATACTCATACACGGTTGCATTCTGCTTCTTGTCTCTGATCAATAAAATACGTTTCTAGGACATATATATACCTCCCCTGTTGAAGTGGGGAGGCTTGTGACTACGGCAGAAGTGACGCATCTGAGTGCCGCTGAGTCTAGGCCATAAAAGGAGACCGTTTTTCCTCGTTCTCTTGGAGAGCTCACTCCAGTACCCAGCCACTGCGAGCAATCCAAAGAAGCCATGTGAGACATCCTCGTTGACTGCTACAGCCGGGATCCCAGACGAGGGACAGCTAGATTTTACCACCACAAGTGTGAACAAGGAAACCTGCACACAATCCAGCCCCTAGCTGTCCAGTCACCCCCAGCCCGAAAGTCTTCCCAGGCCTTCGTCAGCCAGAGGCAAGCTGTTCCGCGATGCCCCATCCAAATTCCTCACTCACAGAGTCTGTGAGCATGAAAAGGTCATTTAAACCACTACATTTGGGGGATGTTTGCTACTCAGCAACGGATAACTGATACACTCAGGCAGCCTGACTCCAAAGCCACACTTTTAACCACTGTCCTACGTACTGCATCTCATAAGCACAGGCCCAGCTTATATTCTGGTATGACCTACTCCTACTCCTCAGCCCCAGTATACTTTTCGCCAGTCAAATCAAACTACTCACTAATTCCTAAACCTCCCCACCACTCTGCTTTGGCTCATGCTGCTCCCTCCACCGGGAGTGCGTTCCCTACCCATCTTCATTCATTCATACACCAGGTATGAGTATCTGCCAAGGGCTAACCACCAGGGAGACAATGGTGAATGAAGCACAGTCAGTCCCTCCTCTCCAGGGGCCTGCAGGCAAATAGAGGAAACAAGAAAAACTGGGACATTACGGGGAGCGCTGATGGGAAAGGAGAAGAGCCGGCCTTCACTATGGGAAGACAGGGAGAAGCTGACGTCCATGCATGGCCTAAAGGATGAGAAGGTGTCATCAGGCAGACATCTGCGGGGGAGGGAGGACATTCCAGGCAGGAAGGGGGCACAGACTGCACGGAGGCCGAGAAAGAGATGTGAGAACAAGGGGTTTCCCAGGAATTGGAAGTCGCTGAGTATGGCTGGCGGCACAGAGTTTAAGTGGACGGCTGGGAGCTGGGAAGCTGGAGGTGGGTAGGGACAGGAGGGCCAGATTGCTAAGGTTCTCATAGGGGTCTGGACATTTGTGTCCATACCACATCCATTTCCCCCTCACTGGAAACAGACCCCAATTTTCCTTTGAGAATCCCCACCAGTCCACTACCACCTCCAGTTCAGGTGGAAGGACGAGCTGACCTCATTGCCTGGCTCCAAGGTAGGCTCAGGACCAGATCAGAGACCTGGCCCTTGACCACTAAGACTGGTTCACAGATAAATATGGGACCCAAAATGGAGGAAATAAAGCCACTCCCAGATCTTATGAAGAAACTGCTGAGAGAAAAGGACCCTCCTTCTGCTGCAATGTTCAGACTGGCAACTATCAGGCCCTGAGTGAGAGTAGCCTGCTGTGGATGAATTCGATGAGAGCCCAGAGAAGAGATGGAGATACAAATTTTCTGAAACGACTGTCTGAGCAGCTGGATCCAGCTGTTCCTGAAGCCTTCCTACTCTAGGCTTCTTACTTACACAGCTCTGTAAAGTCTCTTTTGGGTTTGAGAGAACTTGAAATAGATTTTGCCACTTGTAACCAAAGAGTTCTGAGCCACAAAGCCCTAAGAGGTGGTTGAGAGCTATTTAGGAAGTAGAGTTTAGTGTGTTCATCATCCCCATTCATAGACGATAGAAAGGAACTCACCTGTGCCAAGCACGGAAGCCAGCCGCACCTCATAGTGGGGCTTCCCGTCCTGGTCGACCTCCTTGAAGAGCCGTGTGTTATAGGCACTGAGGTTCTAGAAAAGACAGCAAGGGTTTGGGAGAGAGTAAGTCCTGAGAGGGCTGTGGGGGAGGGGAAGCAGGTCATGCCAAGGAGAGAAGACAGAGCCAGTGCGGGCTGGGCCACCAGGGGACCTGCCCGAGATGGCTGGGAGGGTCTGAGCCAGGGCAGATTCTCTGCTCTGTTCACTCCATGGAGCACCAACTTTTACTAGGCGCTGACCTGACTGTGCCACATGACCTCAACAAACCCAGGGCTCCACAAGGCAGGTGCCACTTCATAGACAAAGAAGCTGGGCATGTAGCAGCTGCGTGGCTGAGCTGGGAGGTGAGCCCCACATGTGACCCCCCAGCGGCTCTGACATTCTGCCTCGACCTGTCCCGAGGCTGTCATGAGGCCCTTTGGCCTGGGGTGGGGTGGGGGCGTCTTCAGTGGAGACAGGCTGGCTCTCAGACAGTGATCCCCAAGTCTCCACCTCAAGGACCCAAGCTGCGACCCAGGCATAGATGCTCGTAGCAAGGGGGCCCCAGTAAAACACTGCCTCAAGTTTCCCAAACCTGTGAGTCCAGAAAGTCTTGGGCCACTTTGGCATCTTCCATGGTACAATCCCCGGAAAAATAGGTAGTGACGCCCTGCGAGGAAGGGGCAGGTGGAAAGGAAGAAGTCGCAGAGGCTGGGCGGGGCTGCGGGCGTCTGGTGACTCCCTCTCCAGTGCTGGGCCTCCTGCGCCTCCTCTCAGCAGCCTCCCTCAGTCCCCCTCCATCTCTTTCCAGGGGGAAACGTTGTAACGCAAACAACACACAGTAAACAGAGGCCCAGCCCCAGCTCCTGCAGCCCTGCTCCAGCCTCACAGGCCAACCCAACCCTAAGGCTTGCCACGTTGCTCTCCCCAAGCTTTGCCTCAAGAGTGTAAGGCAAAGCCCGCTGCCTCCCCTTTAGGCCCCTTCTCTCCACACCATACCAGGTGGCCTCGAAGAAAACCCTCCACTCCTGTGGGGCTGGGAGCCTTACCTCCTTCCCCAGCCCCAGGTGGCGAAGCCTGGGCTCCAGAGAGAACATGAGCTCCCCGCAGGTCTGCCAGAGGCCCCCGACTTCCTCTGGGTGCTGCTGGGCGGCCTTACTCCCCAGGATCACTCGTTCCAGCTTCTCCTGCAGGGGAAGGGGTCCATTGGCCTGGCCACATGGCCCAAACCTGCCTCTGGAGCCCCCGCATCACCCCCAAACTCTTATCCCACAATCTAAGACTTCCCGGCAATCAATGGACCAGTGGCCTTGGCATTGCCTGAAAACTGTCACACTTGGGGCCCTACCACAGACCTTTCGACCAGAAGCAGCATTTCCGAAAGATGGCCAGGCACTTCCTGTGTACGGTGAGGGCTGGGAGCCCTGGGGTAACAGCTGCCCTGGCCCCTGATGGACCTGAGTACCCAGCCCCAGGGGGACTCCCCATGCCCAGGCTTCTCTACTGTGCCTACTGATGACCAAGAGGCTTCATTTCTGTAGGCACCTGACAGTCCCCCAAACACTCGCACATCCTCCCCTTGGGTCAGCACGATCGTGCGGAGGCCACAGCACCCAGTGAGGCTGGGTGGCTGACCCAGGTCACACAGTGTGGCAGGGACAGGGTCAGAGCTTAACTAAGGGCCCTACACCCCCTCTACCGACCCCGAAATCCTCACCTTCCCCGGCCCTCCCTCAGCTCACCTTGGACAGGTTGGGAACAAACTTGGTGTCGCCGAAGGACTTGTAGTTGCCCATGTTGGAGTAGACGCCTGCAGCGTAGACCAGGAACGCCTGGGGGAAGGGAGCGTCAGACGCCTGCAGGCACAGCCTCCCTGCTCCAGGGAGGCGCCCTCCCAAGTGTTAGCACCCAGAGGAACAACTGTGGGCGAGGCTGGGAAACATGGGGGCAGGAGCCAGCTGGGAGGCCCCAACATACTTTCAGAGGCCAATCTTCACACGCCCACTGTCCCACCAAACTGGTCTCAGCAGCATCCAAACACCTCCAAGCACTCACCCACCTCTGTTCCCACTACGCCCACCACCCTCTCTGCCACCTGAGGCCACCGATATGACCTCTAAGGCCCAGTTCAAACACCACCTCCTCGTGCAGAAGGCCTGTTGCCTTCTGCCCCCAACACGGCCAGCAGTGGGCGCTGGAAGCATCAAATGTTATGGCTGGAGGGGTACCGGTCACCCAGTCTATCGCTTTTGCTGGGCCCAAAACTAGTCTCCCTTCTGCTGGCAACAAAACCTCACATCTTCCTTTGGGCAGTCGGGGTGGGGGGAGAAGGAGGACCTTCCTTCCCCCACCACAGAGGTGGGCATACACTCTAGCTGGCCAGTAAGAGCCCTCCCCACCCAGGCAGTTTCCCGGGTGCAAAGAGCCTGTTTCACACCAGGGAGCATCACGCGTGGTGGGGTCCCTGAGGCTCGCCTGCTGGAGTGAGGAGAGAAAGTAACGCTGAGACGAAGTCTGCGGTGCTGTCGCCGAGCCCCTGAATCTAGCTGTGCCTGAAGCCTCTCTGGTTCTGCACTTTTCAATTATGTGAGTCAATAACTCTTTTAAAATAGGCTTTATTTTTTAGAGCAATTTTAGTTTCACAGAAAAATTAAGCAGCAAGTACAGAGATTGGCCTTGTATCCCCTTCCCCCAAACATTCAGTCTTCCCCACCATCAACATCCCCCCCCCCAGGGCGGGACATTCACTACAAGTGATGAGCACACCCTGCCCATCACTCACCCAGAGACCACAGTCTGCATCAGGGTTCACCCTCAGTGCTGTGCCTTTTGTGGGTTTGGGCGGGTGTATGGCAAATATTCATTGTGTATGAGACACGTTACTCTGTATCATACAGAGCAGTCTCACTGCCCTAAAAATCCTCTGTGCCCCAGCCTCCGGCATACCCCCCAGTGCCTGGCAACCACTGATCTTACTGTCCCATAGTTTTGCCTTTTCCAGAAGAGCATATAGATGGAATCAGACTGTATTCAGCCTTTTCGGATTGGCTCCTTTCTCAGTAATGTGGACTTAACTTGCTCCATGTTTTTCCATGGCTTGATAGCCCATTTCCTTGTAGCACCAGGTAACATTCCACTGTCTGGATGCACCACGGTTGAGAGATTCAGTTAATGAAGGGCATGTTGGCTGCTTCCATGTTTTGGCAATTATGCATACAGCTGCTAAGACATCCATGTGCAGATTTTTCTATGGATATAAGTTTTCACCTCCTTTCAAATTTTCCCCCTTGGTAAAAAATATCAAGGAGCATGACGGTTGGATTATGTGAGGTCTGCCCAGAAGGTATCTAGCCAGGTAATATGAAAACCAGAGACACTTACTGAAGATACAAGATATAAGAAACACTGTACATAGGACAATGACGCCTCAGTCCCCTTCAAAGTGGGCACCTTGGGACCTCACACAGTTCTCCCAATCACTATCAGCTGCCCTATCGTATTTTCCTGAATCTCGTTGACAGTCTGAAATCTCTTTCTTTTCCAAGGTGATTTTCATTTTGGGAAAAGCCAGAAGTCGCAGGGCACCAAATCTGGGCTGTAGGAGGGCTGAGTCCCCTGGGTGATTTGATGTTTTGCCAAAAAACCCTAACAAGACATGATACATGAGCAGGTGCGTTGTCGTGATGAAGCTGCCAATCACCAGCTGCCCACGCTTGCAGCCTTATGAATCATCTGAATGGTTTCTGCGGAGGAACGTTCAAGTTTATTGCAAAATTTGATGTAGATTCGTTGCTTGACTTGCTCAGTCATTTTGAGTGCAACGGCCACGCATGCTCACTCAACTGTCTACCATCTCCACTGCCGAGCACAGTGAAGTCGCCATTGTGCATGCATGTGCACTGCAGTCCACTCTCCTCGGCTGCCAGGTTACAAACCATTCTCATTACATCAACAGTGGCTGGACTTTTTCTGGACAGACCTCGTATGTCGAGAGCATACTTAGTTTTGTGAGAAGCTGCCACACTCTCTTCCACAGTAGCTGTACATCAGCAATGAATGTGAGCTCCTATTGTTCCACCTCCTTGCTAGCTTTTGGTGGTGTCAGTGTTTTGGACTTTGGCCACTCTAATGGATGTGTTGAGATTATCTCATTTTTTAAATTTGCAATTCCCTAATGACATATGACGTGGAACACCTTTTCATATGCTTATTTGCCATCTGTATATCTTCTTTGGTGAAGTATATTTGGTGAAGTTCAAAGACCTTTGAAGAAGGCCTTTGGCTTGTTCTTTTTTTTTTTTTTTTTTTTTAATATTTTATTTATTTATCTTTAGAGGGAAAGGGAAGGAGAGAGGGAGAGAAACATCAATGTATGGTTGCCTTTCGTGCATCCCCTGCTGGGAACTGGCCTGCAGGGAACCGGCCTGCAACCCAGGAATGTGCCCTGACTGGGAATCGAACCGCGATTGTCTGGTTCGCAGGCCCGCGCGGCTTGTTCTTTTTAATTAGTTTGCATGTTAGGACTTTTTATATATTTTGGATGACAGTGTTTTATCAAATACATCTTTTGCAAATATATTCTGTTGGGGACCACTCTGTGTGGTGTTGGAGACTGTAGCCCTATAAGAGCAGCCCTTGAAAGAGACCAGTAAGTCTCACTGGGGAACCAGGAAACGCAGGTGGTTTCAGGCCTGATAAATACATTGTATCCTTTGAAGCTTGCTCTGCTTTGTGTAGCCCTGTTGATATAAACCGGATGTTTAAGTTCAAGGCATAAGGAATAAACTCCTTATCTCATGAAATACATCTCAAAGACCATCTGGTGTCAGCAGAACTCACAGACCCCGACCTGAGGCAGATCTCTGTTCCTTCAATTGTTATCTATAGATAACACCTCTTTCTGTATGACTATAGCCTTTTGACATTCATTAATGAGCTACGCATGCATGCTGTATACACCTACACATACCATTCCCAATAAAAGCCGTTTGGGAGAGGAGCTTGGGGCATTCCCCACTAGAGGGAATCGCCACCCCACTTCCTGCCAGAACAGATTATGTTCAGCATGATTTATTCTCATCCGTGGTGGCCAGAAAGCTCTGCTAGATGGGGCATCTCCCACAATATTCCCCAGTCTGTGGCTCGTCTTTTTATTCTCTTGATAGTGTCTTCCACAGAGCAGAAATTTTCAATTTTAGTGAAGACCAGCTTATCAATTATTTCTTTTATGCATCATGTATACTTTGTGGTGTAGACCACAAAAAAAAATCTAAAAAAACCGCCTGGATAGGGCAAAAAAAAAACCCGACCCGGCAGCCACCAACGGGGGAAGGAAAAAAACACAAAAAGTCACCTACAAACTCAAGTTCATCTAGAATTCTCTCCTATTATCTTTTAGTTTTACAGTTTTTCACTTAAGTCTATGATCCATTTTAATTTAATTTTTGTGAACAATGTAAAATCTATGTCTAGATTCATTTTTTTGCATGCGGATGTCTAGTTAGTTGTTCCAGCATCATCTGGCTAAAGACTATTTTTTTCTCCATTGTATTGTGTTTGCTCCTTTATCAAAGATCCATTTACTGTATTTATGGGGGTCTATTTCTGGGCTCTGTATTCTATCCCATTGAGCTATTCAGCTATTCTTTTGCCTAACAACAGAGATCAAAATATGTGAGGCAAAACTAATAAAATGTCAAGGAGAAATAGATGAATCCACTATTATAGTTAGAGATATTAACACCCCTCTACCAGAAATAGACAACCCTGGCTAGTGTGGCTCAGTGGCCTGAGTGCCAGCCTGGGAACTGAGAGGTCACTGGTTCAATTCCCAGTCAGGGTACACGCCTGGGTTGCAAGCCAGAGGCAATTGAATCTCTCACATGTTGATATTTCTCTCTCTTTCTCCCCCACTTTCCCTCTCTCTAAAAGTAAATAAATAAAATCTTTCAAAAAGAAAAGTAGACAGATGCAGCAGGCAGCAAATGAGTCTTAAAGTCGAGTGATATCAATCCTCCAACTTGGTTCTTCTCCTTCACTACTGTGTTGGCTCTTTAGAGTCTTCCACCCCTCCATATAAACTTTAGTTTCAGTTTGTTGATACCACAAAATGACCTGCTGGGAGTTTGAGTGGAATTGCTATAATTCAGGTAAGAAAGAAATGACATCTTGAACAATACGAAGTCTTCCTACACGAATGTGAATGTCTCTCCATTTATTTATTTCTTTGATACGTTTTATCAGTTTTATACCTTTCCTCATATTGGTCTTGTACATGTTTTGTAGAATTCATAAGTAGTCTTCTTTTTTGTACTGTAAACGGTATTATTTCTAATCTGAAATTCTGCCTGTTCATTGCTGGTATAAAAGAAGAAATCCCCTTTCTGGCCCAGAATGCGGTCTGTCCTGGGGAATGTCCCGTGTGAGCCTGGGAAGTGCGTGTGCTCTGACCCTGGATGAAGCGGTCTCTAGGTGTCTTTCATGTTCAGTTGTTCGGCAGAGTGGTTGAGTTCAGCTACGTCCTTACTGATTTTCCGCCTGCTCCATCCATTTCTGAGAGAGGGGTGTTAATATCTCTATAACAATGGATTTATCTATTTCTCGTTGCAGTTTTAGCTCACATATCTTGATGCTCTCTTGTCAGACACATACGACACTAGAAGACCATTGTGTCTTCTGGGAGAACTGAGCCTTTTATCATTTCGTAATGCCACTCCTTATCCCTGACAACTTTCCAGGCTCTTAAGTTTGCTCTTTCTAAAATTAATCGAGCTACCCACTTTCTTCTGCTTAGTGTTAGTATGGGATCTATCGCTCCAACCCTTTTCATCTATAAGTGTCTTTATGTTTAAAGTGGGTCTCCTGTAGAAACATAGAGTTAGTCGGGTCTTGTTTTTCTGATCCACTCCGACAATGTCTTTCATTGGTACATTTAACTACTGACATTCAAAGCGATCACTAGTACAGTTGGACTAACACCGACCACATTTGTTACTGTTTTCTGTATGTTGTCCCTGTTTTTTGTTCCTGTGTTTGTCTTCCATTCTTCTTCTGCCTTTTGTGGTTTTCAACTGAGCCTTTTATAATCCATTTTCTTTCCTTTCTTAGCGTACCAGCTGTATCTCCTTTTTTACTTTTGTAATGGTGGCTCTAGAGTTTGAAATACACATTTACGACAAACCCAAGTCCACCTTCAAATAACACTCTACTATTTCACGGGTAGTGGAAGTACCTCATAATTAAAAAACTCCTAATTCCTGCCTCCCCTCCCCCATGTCATTGCTGTCACTTATCTCACTCATGCATAGCGCACACAAGTTTTATTTATAAACATATATAATTGAACACGTTATCTCTACTTATTTTGAGCAAACTGTTATCTCTTAGATCAATTAAGAATCAGAAAAATAAGCTTGTATTTAACCTTCACTTATTTCTTCTCTACTGCTCTTCCTGCATCTCCAACACAGACACAAATCTCCGACCTACAGCGTTTCCTTCTCTCCAAAGACCTTCTAACACTTCCTGCAGGACAGGTCTGCTGGGAACACATTTCCAAGTCATTATCGTTTCAGATCTTTTTCAGTTCCTTCCTCTCTTCTCCTTCTGGTATCCCCATTATATACATGGTACATCTCTTACAACTGTCCCACTGTTCTTGGATACTCTACTCTGTTCCCACCTTTTCTCTCTTTCCTCTTCAGTTTTGGAGGTTTCTGTTGAAATATCCTCAAACTCAAGAGACTCCTTCCTCAGCTGAGTTCAGTCTCCCAAGGAGCCCCTCAAAGGCATTGGTCATTTCTGTTATAGTGTTTTTGACTTCTAACATTTTGGGTTCTTTCTTAGAATTTCTATCTCTGCTTACATGGCCCATGTGCCCTTTCACATTTGTCTGCTTTATCATAGAGCCCTTAACACCTCAATCATAGTCATTTTAATCCCTGGTCCGGTGAGTCCAACATTCCTGCCATACCTGAGTCTGGTTATGGTGTTTGCTCAGGTCTTTTCAAACCATGCTTTTTGCCATTAGTCTATTTTGTATTTTTTTTTTTTTCTTGAAGCAGACATGAAATACAGGCTAAGAGGAACTGCTGTAAACAGGCCTTTAGCAATGTGGTGGTAAAGTGTGCAGGCAGGGGACGCACTCTGTGGTCCCACGGTCAGGTCTCACTCTTTCGGTGAGTCTTTGCCTCTGGACTGAGGCAAAGTGTGGGGTCCCCCCTACAAGGGGGTCCCTCTGGAGTCCTCTGCACTGAGGCTGTAGCCAAGTCATTAATTATGACTCAGGTCTGTCTACCCCAGCACTGGTTCCAGCGGGTTTCTGCTCATGAATTTTCGCCCTGGAAAGTAGTAATTCTCTGCACCTGCCTATCTCTCTCCGACTTGGAAGACGACAGTTTGCCCTGTGACCTCACTCCTCTTAATGATCTAAGGAGAACTGTTAGTTTTCAGTTTGTTCACCTTTTGACTTGTGGTTAGGACAGACTGGTGACTTCTAAGCTCCTTACATGCCAGGCCAGAAACTAGAAGTCATGATTTTCTTTTCCATTTAAGCCAATTTGTGGTGGGTTTCTGCAACTTACAAACAAAGGAATCCCACTAAAAATAGCAATACTTGGGTAGCGTCTTTCCATTTATAAACATTTCCCCAGCTTTTAGCTCTTTTAATGAGTAAATCAAGACCTAGAGATGGGATGTGATTACACAAAATTCAAAAAAGATAGAAGAAGAAGCCTGGGCCTCTCTGCTCAGAATTAGGCATTCCAATTCCTTCATTTTACATGTAGAAAAACAGGCACAGTCTCATACATTCTTGGTAAAGTTTTTTAGAAGATGATTTAACAGCACCACTCAATGGTAAATTAGAGGGCCTTTTGCCAGCAACCCCACTTCTAAAAATAGATCCTACTCACACATGCACACAAGTATGCTCCTTATGGCACTACTCATAAGAACCGGGAACAATGAAATATCCAGCATAAAGAAAAGATTATACTGACTACAGTGCACTCTGCTGTGAATGTTTCACAACCAACAAAAAAGGAATAAGGTGGAGTTATATGTGCCCCATGGAAGTTTTCCAAAATATGGGGTTAGGTCGATGCCCATGTGGTCTCAAAGGCAGGTCTCAGAAGAACATGGAGAAAATAAGGAACAGATACACTTACACAAGAACGTATGGAAGTATGTAATACAAACAGAGGGTTGAAAAGGCCGTCCGCCCCGCCATCCTCAGAGGTCACCTCTGGGAAGGGCACTGAGAATGAGCCACCCCTGTGTTTTGCATGATGTCTACCTGTACTGTTGCAATACATGAAGAATGCATTCCTGTATTACTAGGCCCACAGACCCACAAACAAATAAAAACCAGGGGACAGGAAGAGTGTTCTGCCCAGGAACACAAAACATGGTAAAGGAAGACCTGGTCCAGACAGAGACCCGATCCCTACCCTGCACTCATTCCTCTACCATCTCAAAATCTCCAGCTAGTTCCTTTACTCACAGCCCTTGTTACAATCACAGCAGCCACCCTTGATCTTGGAGGCAGGTCACCACAACTCATGCATATTTTGCAGATGAGAAGAATGAAGGCCCAGAAAGGGGAGGTTTCAGTATTCCTAATTCTGGGTCTAATCCAAAGGGAGACCTTTGTACCCCTGCTTCCTGGTCCCTCACGTCCACAAACCATTTAAGGAATTCAGGTTAGCCTGAAAGAACTGACCTGATACTCCTCTTCAGTAAGACCCTCAGCCAGGGCGTGCTGGCGTAGCTGGTCGGGATCCTGGACACGGAAGAGGCGGCTGAGCAGGGCATAGATGTAGGGGGCCTCGGGGGAGGTCTGCAACAGCACAGCCAGGCCTCCATACCAGGAGGCGCGTGACAGGTGATGGGCATAGAGGCGCTCTGTGGGCGACAGCAGGCGGAAGGCTTCGCGACAGTCCAGGCTAGACACGCCGATGTCATTGGGCAGGATGTACTGGGTATCCGCCATGGGCCCTGCTGAGAACCATCATCATCATCACAGCCCATCATTTACCCGACACCTGGCTCCACACTCTCATGATCTCGTTTAATCCTACCAAATACTCCTACGGAAGGAAACACCATTTTATCCATTTGCCAAATATGCCTGAGACCCAGAGAAGGTTAGGTGACTCACCACAGAAGATTACAAAATACATTGGCGGCCATAGTTGGCCTGTGGCCCCCTCAACTTTAAAGATTGGATCAAACTGCCTAGCCTTACAGACAGGGAAACTGAGACCCACAGAGGCTAGGAGCTTTGCCTAATAACAAGGGAAGTGTCAGAAGCAGAGACCCGGGTCTCTAGACTCCCCAGCCCAGGTCCCTCTCCAGCTCTTCCCTCCTTCTGACCTCCTGTCCTCCTCTTCAGAATTCTGCAGGTTCTTCAGTTCCGCTCACCACTGTGTTCCCACAGCGTCCCGGGCCGCCAGCTGGAAGGCTCCTATTGCAATCCTGGCTCAGCCCCAGACTCCTCAAATCAAGTCAACTGTTTCACTACGCTACGCCTCTGTTTCCGCCTCTGCAAAAGGGAGGTGGTAACAATCCCAACCTCACCACGTGGGTGTGCGAATTAGGTAAGGTCACCCCGGATGTAATGTACTTATAGCAGTAAACGATTGTCCTTGTGCTCTTTTCTTCTCTCACTGCTGCCAGGATTTGTCCTACTCTCAAGAGGCCCCGCATCCTCCTGCCTGCCCTCTGCCTGTGCTCGGCCTGAGGGGCTACAGAGTCACAGAAGTTCAGGGCTGGAAGAAAACTCACTTTACAGATATGGAGGCTAAGGTTTAGCGAGACCAAGCAATTTACGAATGCCTCATAGACCGTAGGGACCCAGGGGGATCTCACAACCCAGGGCATTCCACACCCAGTCCTCCCACACTGGTAACAGGTTCCCAGCGTACCCCCACCACTCCCGATGCTCCGCCCCCAAAACAACCACCGGGTTCTGAAAGGGGTGTTAACTCTTTGCTGCCCGGAGTGTTCCTCAACCTTGGGGCCGCAATGACTTTAGAAGGGGTACTGGATGGGGAGAAGAAAGGAAATGATCTTGCACTCGGTCCAGATTCGCCCTGTCCCTCGAGGATGACTTTGTGACCCGAAACGCGGGCGCGGAGCCTCACCTGCAGCAGCTGCTCCGATCGCAAACTCACTTCCTGCTTCCGGCTCCCCCCATTCATTGGGGCTCCACTAACTCCGCCCCCATAGGCCAATTGCTGGGCCTCGGGGCCCAGATGGGCGTTCACTTAAGCCAATAGGATAGCCAAGACGTACTCCTCTGGCCCGCCCACCACCCCGCCTCCCGGCGCTACGGGGTCGCTCGGGGGACTGCCCCTGCGGCCTTGGCCTTTTGTCCGCAGGCGGTGCTCACACGGAAGCCGGAACCGCCGTGGAAGGCCTGGCCGCGGCCTGGTGCTTGCAGACCCGCTGACGAGATCCCCCTAGTCCAGGCGGGACGGCATGAGTGTCACAGTCAGAGCAACAGAGATTTCCCTTCCCCCTTCCCCTCACCTCAGCCCCGACCGCGGCTCTGCTTTGGGGTTTTCCCAGTCCCAGATCTCAGTTCTGCAGGTGGAAATCTGCACAATGGGAGCTAAAGTGGCTTCCCCTTCTTCACTGGATTCGAGGACCGGTGGGTGGAGGTTCTTTGGTGACCTCCTTGCAGGAAGTCCAGGCTACAGATGAACAGGTGGCTGCGAGGGCTAAGATAGTCCCATGGGTGCCTGCACTGCCACGGACCCACCGTGGGCAGGGAGGGTGGAGGGCGGCAGCTGCTAAACGTCTCCGAGCCTCAATTTTCAGCACAAAGGGCAAGGGGCCTGGCAATTTCTTGGTGCTTGCGGGACGCCTGATGGATAAGAAAGACACCTGCAACCTAGAAAGGCTGCCCAGGGCAGAACCTGGCCTGAGATCCACCCTTGCATGTCGGTGATCTCACTGGAGGATGGGGCACAGCGTGTGAAAGTGCCTGGGGCCCAGCGGGCACCTAGTAGGGAATATCGTGAGGGTCCCAGATCAGAGGGGGAGCCGAACCAGGCCTCCGCAGCCTACGGGCTGCCCTTGGGTGGGTCACTTTACCTCTCTGAGTCATGGCTTTCTCAGAAAAAGACAAAAACAAAACAAAACAAAAAAAACCCGAGCTAATAATTGTTTTCACTCTGAGGAACGTTGTTAGCTTGAGTGAAGTGTTGACTGGGCAGTGGCGCCCCCTAATGTTCGGCGAGGGGTGCCTGAAATCCACACCCCTCCTCGCTGCCCTTGCCACACCCGTACCTAACCCGCCCCCCCAGTAGCAGCTGCCACCATGACCACCAGCTGCTCATTTACAAAGGTGCCCAAGCTCTGTTTGCCACAGTGATACTGTTGGCTCTGACAACAATTACCATTATAGGAGGAGCTCAGAAAACTGGCCTATGTCTTTAGGAACATCTCCCCCCTCTTCTTATGCCTCGGTTTTCAGTCTTTGAGTACAGTCTTCCCTGACCTGGGTGAAACTGAAATGTGCATCGGTAAAGGAGGTGGTGCTGTGCACTGCCACCAGGGAGCAGCTCAGGCCTGCAAAAGACCCCAGCGCTCCTGGGAGCCCTAGCAGGCCGAACTCTCATGTCCACAGCTAATCTGATCCTAATCTGTCCCCATACTAGCAGCTGGACATGGAGGATCTCATTTCATTTTTGCAAAAACCCCGAGATATCATTTTACCCATGGTACAAATGGGGAAACTGAGGCTAATTTGTTCACTGACTTTCCTAAGGCCACCTAGCATGTCCTCAGGTGTTCCTGAACTGGAGGTCAGCCTCCCTCAGACTTCCTACCACAGTTCTCTCCATCTGCCCCAGCACACACACACAGAGCCGTCCACTCACTGGAGTCCTGACAGTTCCTTGTCCCTTCCTGTGGAAATGAAGAAGGGATAGGTAAGGAAGTACCATTAAGTACCTCCTGTGTTACAGGTGCCCTCCATAATTCATAACCACCTGGTGACGGGACTTTCATTCCATTTAATAGCTGAGGAAACAGACACTCCAAGAGCTGGGAAGGGGCAGAGCTGGGCCAAGATCAGGGCCGACCCCTCCACTACCTCTTCTGAGTGCTCCCTGGGGTTGCACCTGTGCCCTTTGCTCGTCTCTCCAGAGTCTGAGGTTCCCTGCTAGACATGGGACTGGAATATTTCCATCTGGTTCCCAAACAGGTCAGAAGGAAAAAAAAACACTGGGAAGAGTTGGATTCCTAGTTCTGTGTGTGTGGGAGTTGCCCCGCCCCATACCCACCCCGGAATCCCCAGCTGAGCTCCCCCATAGTGGCAGTGCGATGCTCTGGAACCGAGACTGATCGCATCCCTCTCTCACCCCTCAAGTACCTCTGTCCTCTCAATAGCCCCAGGCCTGTGTCCTGGAGCACGCCCCTCCCCTGGGAACCTGTACTCCCTGAGGCCGTCATCTTCCACTGGGGATGATGCTCAGGTCAGGCTTGTATTCAGAGGCTCTTCTCATTTTTATGTTCCCAAAACTCCTGTCTTCCGAGCTCACTCCCCCTGGGAATGGTCTGGGGGCAAACTGAGCAGCACCCTGGATTCTCAGGGAGTGGTGACACTCTGCCAAGATGAATAGGGAGCCAGGTCAGCCTTGGCCTCCATGGCAACCAAAACCCACCGGGCCAACGCCAAGGAAAGCAGGACAGTGCAATGGAGAAGAGGGCAGATTCTGAGGCCAGCAGGCAGCCGTGGATGCAAATCTGCCTTGGCCAATTTCTAGCAGTGGGACCTGGAGCATGTGCCTGAATCTCCCCATCAACAGAAATGGTAACACCTCCCTCCCTGGGTCCCTATGAGGATTAGATAACCAAACCTCTGAGAAGCACAGCCCAGTGTCTAGTGGGCGCTCAATGAACATAGTTATTATTATCATTAGCACAGTGTGGGGCACAAAGTGGGCATTCAGGAATGGTAGCCCTTGTAACACAGCCAGCGTTCTGGAACTGCAATTCCTCTCTCTTCCCTGGGCTCCTGACTGTCCAAAATGAGGTTCCAAATCCTCCATCCAGTACCTTCTCTGCCAGCACAGCCCCTGCCTCTTGCTCCAGCCTCCTTCCTGCCCTCCTGCAGCCCCTGCTCCAGCCACTTGGAACCCCACTCAGTTCCCTGCTTACTACCACGAGTCTGTGTTCCTCCTCTCCCTTCTGCCTACAGCACCTGCCCCTTCCTGTGGGGGAGTTCACTGAAGCCGAGCCGCCTCCCCCCCATGAACCCTTCCTCACTTTCCCTCCTGCCAGGGAGACCTGCACCACAGCCCCTGGCAATTCCCTTGATCCTGGCACACAGGAAGCCATGCTGTCATTCGGTAATTCGATCTGTCGTCCACTAGTCTTTGAATTCTTCCAGGCAGTTTGTCTCCGTGTCCCCAGAACCCACTTGGCATGGAGTCCAGCGCACGGTGAGTATCCACAGATGCCAGTCCCAGCCTGCCGCCCACCTGTGACTGACTCAGGGGCTGGAGGCACTGCATACTTGCACACATGCGGGACTCGGGTTGGTGAGGGCAGCTGAGCAGCAAGGTTTATCGAGAACCCCAGGGCAGCAGCAGGGTGAATATCTGAAACCGGGTTAGCAGGCTCAGGGCACAGCCAGCCTAAACTGAGGGTCAGGGGCCCGGGGCTCCTTCACTCCCCCAGGGGCACAGTGTCAGCGGCATGATGAGACACCCCGGGAAAGGCCAGAGCGCAGGGGCGGGCTTCCCTCTGGCAGGCCAGGGCAGAGCTGGAGCTGAGGACCCCATCATTCTGACTGGGGTAGCCGTCTCAGGGACACCTTTGGGGGCCAGAGTTAAAAGGGGAGGCGCTCAGACCATCCAATGCGTCCATCTGGTGGTGGAGTCCCGCATGCAGAGCCCCCTCGAGGCTGCAGGAGGTGGAGAATCCGAGTGGGCAGGCAGGCGCAGCAGCAGGGGACCCTGGGGCACTTAGTCCAGTGGCCCCTGGAAAATGAGGCGGACACAGCCGTGCTCACCAGTGAGCCAGGCCCCACAAAATGGGCAGGCAGCGTGGAAAGCATGGGTGCCATGGGGCAGCGGTGTCTGGGCCCAGTAGCGGGCAGTCTTCTCAGAGCAGACGTGGCCGCAGGGTGCAAAGGCATGGCTGGGAGGCCCAGGGTCCAGGCAGAGGCCGGCCTCCTGGCCCAGCCACAGGGGCACATAGGGCCCCACAAGACGGCAGAGAGGACACTCGCGCTCCTGGGGGCCCCGCTCTCGCCGACAGCCCCAGCCATGGTAGCCGTGGACATGGCCGCAACGAACGTAGACCCAGGGCTGCTGTTTGTCGGGGGCCGTGCGGCCACGGGCCGGACTGGGGAAGGCTAGAGTGCTGAGGCCCACGGGGCACTGGGGCCTCGCTGCGTTCGCCTCCTGCCGCTGGGCCTCCAGCTGCTTCAGCGTGGGTGCCCGCAGCAGCCCCGCCGGCGTGCGCCACAGCAGTGTGGCCCCACACAGGTCGATGAGGGAGCCATCCTGCAGCACGTTGGACTCGCTCTCCACCTGCCAGGAGAGTAGAAGGGACTCATTGCCCAAGAGGCCCCCAAGTCCCTACCATCGGGCAGCTATGTCCCCAGCCTAGCCACCTGTCCACTCCACTGAACCTCCCTGGAGAGGAAACTCAGGACCATCAGGGCAGGCCGGGGCAGGCCTGGGGACTAGGACAAAGAAGGGAAGGATGGGGGTGGAGGAGGGGGGCAGACCAGGAAGCCACGGGGGCGGGCAGGCAGGTACTCCCAGGCACAGTGTCCCTCACTCTCAGCAGAGCGTGGGCCTTGGTCACTTCATCTGTCAAACCGGGAGGTCTGGACTTAAACGGAGTCTTTCTAAAATGTTTCCCCAGGCTCTTCCCTTAATGGCAGAGGCAGGAAACTCTTCCATCCAAACCACCGGGAACAGAGGCCAAAGCAGCTGTCCCCAGGGCTGTGGCTGAAGCACGAAGTCTAGAGCTAGACGTCCTGGGGGCGAATTCTGGCCTCACAGCTTCCTAAATCTGTGTCCCTGGACCAATAATTCGATCTCTCTGTGTCTTCATTCCCTTATCCTCCAGACAGATTCCACTTTCCCGTATGCCAAGTGCTTCTCGGGATCGATCAATGTAAACTTGGAACATGCTGGAACTTAGTGTATGCTAGTGAATCATTCACCCATATAACTTTTTCAAACAATATTTCCCCAAGTCTCCCAGTAGGATTGATGCTCTGGAAAAACAAGCTGTGCTTTCCCTGAGGTTTTGTATCCGTTTGCCTAACACGTTCACACCCAGGAAGGGCTCAGCGCTGCCCATTTGAGGAAGCTGGCCACACGACCTTAGCAAGCTCCCACGTCTGTCTAGGACCCTCTCCCAGCTCCTGACATTAGTTGCCTGCTCTGTGCTGCATGCAGCGTTCACTGTCACCTGTGTCAGAACTACTCCATGGACGCTTTCCCACTGGGAGAGCATAATAAAAGCTCAACCCGGCTGAATGCGACAGACACGTTACAAACTGCCGACACTTCAGGCTATAAACTGTTCACACAGGGGCCAAGTGTCACCCTCATCAGAGGGTGTGATTTTTTTAAGCTGTTGGCGTCCCCTAAGCCATTTGGAACTGCATGGTGTGTTTGTGTGTGCCCCACTTCCTACCACCCCATGGGCCTCCAACAGAGGAAATACTTGGGGACACCAGTCTGGTTCCCTCCATGTGGCAGGCGGCACATGCCCCCAGATGGAGCCTGTTGGGGCACCCAGGTGCAGGAAGGCTGGAGATCGGCTCCTGGCTTTCGCAGGGGAATGGGCGTATGGGGGGCCCCGGGAAGGATGTGGTGGGGAGGCAGGGATAGGGCAGACCACCTACCAGCTTCCCCCGCTGCTGTGCCGAGCGGCTGTCCCTCAGAGTGTAGACGTTCCCGCAGACGGAGATCTCTCGCCAGATGCCAGGGGCCGAGTCCTCAGAGAAGCCGCCCGCAGGGTGCATCACCAGGACCCCATTGGTGGTTAAGCCGTCCATTAGGCCGTCGGGGGTCCGCCATTTGGCTGCCCGCTCCTGGGACCACATGTGGGATCAGACCACACCACCAAGGGGCCCCCAGCAGGTCCTGAGCCAGGGGTGCTGCCCCTCCACCCTCAAGGTCAGAGGTGGCCCAGAGAGGCCTCAGACTGGCACTGCCTGACCTTGGGCATCATCTGACCTCTCTGAACCTCACCTTGCTCATTTGTTAAGTGGGGTGCTAATCCCTGAATAGGTCATAGTTATGATTACTGTGGGCTGGTCCATGGAGCTCAGAGGGCTGCTCTTCCCCAGCCTACCCCTCAGCTCGCTCTCAGATGAAGTGCTGGTCCCCACCTGGGGGCTCACTCACTCCAAGGAAGATGTTGCTGGAGGCATCGAAGCCAGCGGCATAGATGCGGGCAGTGTAGGGCGGCCGGCGGTCACAGAGGATGCGGCAGGCATAGCGGGAGATGGTGCTCTGGGCAGAGGGGCCCTCAGCTGCCCCTCCTCCAGGGGACGTGTCTGTCACCACAAAGTCAATCATGTTCTCCGTGGAGCGGCCAATCTATGAGGAGGGGGAGGGCAGGCACAGGTGTTGTGTTGCAGGTCAATCCCACACTTCCCACCCAGGGTTCCTGGCAGCTGCTCTGCACGCAGTTACCAGACAATGAGGGGCAGCACCATCCCAAGCACCCAGGGGGTTCCAAGTCCAATTGCCAAGTTCTGGGGCTTCTTCTTCTTCTCCCCCAAAGGCCTGGGGAACACGACACTCAATAAAAACTAATAGATTTTCTGACTGAACAGGGAAAGGGTGACACCCAGGGTCCAGGAGTGTCACGTATCAGCAGCAGACAGTGCATTTTTAGTAAAGTGTTTACTCTCTGCCAGGCACCGTGCCGCACACTTTACGTGCAGGATCTCAGTTCATCTCCCCTACCATTCTGTTCGTGGGTACTATTCTGCCCGCCCCCCTGCCCCGAGCAATGAGATAACCAAGGCCTGGAGAGGTGAGGTGACTCTTGCCCAAAGTCGCCCTAAGTCAGCAATGGAGCTGGGGTCTGAACCCAGGGAGTATGATTCTCACACCACACACTGAACCCCTAAACTATATGCCCTTCCACAACTGGGGAGTACTGTCTTGGGTTTGAATCTTGATACAGCTACTACTCGCTGCACGGCTCTGGGAAGTCAACAGTCCTCGCTGCGATGTCCTGCTTCCTCATCTGAAGAGCAGTTAGCTGCACTAGGGGCCCCGCAGCACCTTCCCCATGGCCTCTGGTCCTCCAGCCTCACCCTGGAAGGCCTGAAGAGCCGAATATTGAGCCTGGTGGCCGGGAGGCGCGTGGAGGGACCCAAACATACCTGGAACATGTCTGTGTCACTGTCATGTGTGTACTCAACTATGACCGAGTGGCTCCGGGACAGTGTGTACGAGATGCTGTGCTGGCCCCGGTTACTCAGAGCCTGGTGGGGAAAAAGGGGAAGTTACTTCCCAGGGCGTGTGGCCATGATGCGTGAGCCTCTGAGCTGGAAGCTGGAGCCCGAGGCCAGCGGCCGCTCCCGGGGAAGGGTGGCCCTCCACTTTGTGGAGGGCATAGTGTGCAGCTGGCACTTTATACAAGGTTCCCTTTATTTGCTCCCTCCAGCCACCCCAGCAAGAAGGCATGATTATCATTCCCATTTTACAGTCCAGAGAACTGCGTGCAGCTCAGGGTGTGTGGCTGAAAGTTGCAGAGCTGGAAATAGCAGAGCTCCAATTCTAACCCAAAGGCTTTCCCTTTGTCATTGCTGCAACTGTCACATCCCCTCTCTGAGTCCTGGCTGCCTCTAAAATGATGCTGATCATTTCCATCCAAAGAATGGGGCCTGGTGGTCAAGGAAATGCGTTGCAAACTGTAAAGGACAGTGTGGGCTGCAAAGGCTCTCCCGTCAGCATCATTTCCCTGGCAGCTCAAGAGGCAATGTGGAAAGATACAGGGGGCTCCCCGGCTCCGGTGGGGGGGCTTGGGCAGGGAGGGCAGGACCAGTGCCCTGGCGTGCTGGGACAAGCTGCTTGCCTTGGAGACGAGCGGTGTGGAGATATGGTGCATGACGTCTGGCTTCACTCCGTTGGCATGTGGCCGGCGACTCAGTGCCAGGCGGCTTCGCCGGCGGCCCTTGTCCCCACTGGACAGACATCCGTTGTAGCTGTGGATATGGGGAGTTAAGAAGAAAAAGTTGAAGGGAGATAGAGAAAAAATGAGCCTCTGAAAGACTAGGAGGAACTGCCAACTTCTGGGCAGATCCTACCTTGATAAACAAGCCCCAGAACCATCTGAAACCAGAAGACACTCCTATATATCAAATCGGTGCCTTTGGGAAGTGGGTTGGGGTCAAAACATCTTCAAAAGAACTTTCATTCAATTAATCATTGTATCCTGAACCCCTGAGCTGTGCCCAGCCAGGTGCTGGGTGCTGGGGTGGCAGAGGTGATGCACCACAGGTCAGTTCTGTGCCCTGGCAGTGGGGGAAGGAGGTCCTCAGCTTTTCAAGGAAACTGGGTGCCATCTGCCATGACCCAGGCACAAGTCAAGTGCACTTCAGGTCTAGAGGCAGGAGAAGAGTATTCTGGCCCCCAGATCAGGTTTCTAGAGAGGGAACACCTATCCTGGGTCTTGAAGAACTGGAAAGGAGTCATTTGTAGCAAACTGTTATTTATGACATCACAAGTACTACTGGAAACCAGAACGACAGAGAAAAAAATAAAGCCACACTGCACAACCTCCATATGTCCACTCACATTGAAATTCTACCTTCCTTCCTAGCTCTCATCCCGGGGGGAATGGTGCGGAAGGAAAAGATGGGGCGAGTCACAGCCTGACTGCGGCCGTGCACTGGAGCCTCCCATTGTTCCTGGTGCTTCACACTATTAATTACCTAATGGAATCTGCGCAATGTCCTGCCAGGCAAGTATCTTTCTTCCCATTTTATGAATGAGGAAAACTGAGGCTCAGGGAGGTAAAATGACTTGCCTGAGGTCCCAGGCTAGTAAGTTGAAAAGTTCAGATTTGAACTCGGGTCTGTCCAACTCCAGCCTCTCTTGCAGAAACCTTCTGGAGGTAAGGCTCACCCTGAGCAAAGGTCCTGAGGCCGGCAGAGTCTGGTGAAACCAGGGAGGGCTGACTAGCGTGGTGAAGTGCAATAGGAGAAGAGGAGGTGGGCAGATGGCCCCCAGAAACCAGGCTGAGGAGTCTGGACTTTTTCTGTAAGCAGTGGGGGGCAACGGAAGGTCTGATAGAATTAAGAGCTGCCAAATACAGCCGAAGATCACTTGAATCAGACTCTTGGGTAGCTGGTTAAAATATAGATTCCCTGGCCCCATTCATGGAGATTTTGATTCAGTAAGTCTGGGATGGCCCTGTTCAGTGAGCTCCCAAGATGGGTCTAATGTACAGCCAGGGTGGGTTTCACTGCTCTGCAGAGAACCACGGCTGGCAAGAGGGCCTAGCCCTTGGGGTTTTGCTCTCCCTCATCAGTGGTCTAACCCTCAGCTGCAGAGCCAGCCCTCCCTTTGGGACATCAAGCTGCTGCTATTCTAATGCAAGTACCCCTAAGAGAGACATCGCTCTTGCTCTTGTAAGCTCTTTCCACAAGTCGGGGTGGGACAGTTCAGGACATGGGCCTGGCTGAAACCATGGCTTATCTATTTACTACACAACCTCCATAAAATGGGGCTAGTTTACCAGGACCTACCTCGTGGGTTCATTGGGAGAACTAAATGAGACAAAGCATTTAAAATTGCTTGGCATAGAGTTTGGCTTATATACAGAAAGTCCCTGATAAATGTTAGCTATTATTATTATTTTTTTATCCTCACCTGAGGATGTTTTTTCATTGTTTTTAAAGAAAGAGGAAGGAAGAGAGAGAGGGAGAGAGAGAGACATTGGTTGCCTTCTCGTGGCGCCACGACTAGGGATTGAACCCTCAACTGGCTATGTGCCCTGACTGGACATGGAACCCGTGACCTTCCTGTCCACAGGATGAAGCTCCAACCCACTGTGCCATGCTGGCCAGGGCTATTGTTATTTTTTTAAGAAAGTACACAGCATGTACATGTCAACAACCATTATTATTTCTACAAAATCATCATAATGACAACACAGCCTATCGGGTATTTTCTCCAGGGCAGATGGCAGAGAGAAAGGCCAAAAGGAAGCATGAATGGGGAGGAAGAGGGATCTGTGCCTGGGGGAAGTGCACAGTGGGAGTTGCAGGGACCCTGGTCAGGCAGAAACCAGGAAGGGATGAGGTCTGCCCAGCCACCGACTCACATCGCTTCCTTTCTTGTGGCCTCGGTTTGCTCATCTGTAGCATGAGGACCAGCTGTGGCTTAGTGAAAGCGCACTAGACCTAGAGTAAGAAAGACCTGGGTCCAAATCCCAGCCCTGCCACTTACCAGCTGTGTGCCCTCGGACCAGTCACTTCCCCTCTCTGAGCCTCGGTTTCCTCACCTCCTTCCTCACAGCATCTTTGTGAAGATTGAAATGAAATAATGTCCATGAAAGGGCTTGGCACAGTCCTGCCTCCCAGAACACTTGATACGTGCCAGGCACTGTTCTACGTGTTTATAGAAATCACCTCATTCATTCCTTCCAACAACCCTCTGAGGTATCGCCATTCCTATTTGTAAAAGGGGGAAACGAAGGCACAGGGAAATCAAACAACTGGCAAACGCAGGATTTGAACCACGCAATTTTGATGAAGAACCGGAATTCTTAATGTCAAACCACACACACACACACACTTTACGAAAGGCAGCGGTGTTAGTGTTTTCTGATTAGAAACTCAGGTGGGCAATTAAGAGTTCTCTCAGTAATTTATGAAAAATGGAAAGATAAAATAATTATGAATTAAGGGTCAACTCTGTCTCCCAGCTGGGAAGATAAGGAGGGATAAAGAGCAGAAGAAGGTGGAGAGAACTGGGGCCCTTGGTCTGATTGCCCTGGGGGTGCCTGGTGCCCCACCCCACCTGGACCAGGGATGCTCACCCCAGGACGATGAGTTCACCATACTTGATGGGTTCCTCGCCTGGCTGCCCATCTTCACCAGGAGAAGAAAGGACGCAAGAGCCCTGGTTCCCAGGGCGCTGGAGGTCTGAGGTTCGGGAGGACCCCACTTCAGGATTTCCTTCCAGCACCATTCTGGGCAAAACGGAAGAGGAGAAAAAATAATTTTGCAGCCCCCCATCCCAACCCTCCTCGGGGCCAGATCTGGCCTGCCGTAGGACCACCTAGGCTAAAGCCAGAATGACCTTTCACCGCCTCTGTTGCTATGGCAACCACTTCACCCCTGCCTCTCCTAAACTGCCCTGGGTTGCTGGGATACCCAGGAAGGAAGTTGATAGGTGGGATGGAAGGAAGAGGAGAAGCCACACAAGAGGGTGAGAAAATTTAGTGGGGCCAGAGGAATGAATCAACTTGGGGTGGCCAGAAGCTTCCTTTTTGGCCATGTTCTTGGAAGAGGGGCACCCTAGGAGTTGGGGACCCTTACTCCTTATCTTAGACTCAGTTCCTGGGTTTAGCTCTCAGCCACAGGACCTCTAAGTAACCCTTCTGTCAGGTTCTTGGAACCTGTCTGCCCTTCTTCATCTTTCTGCCTCTTTGCAGGTCTAGCCTCTGTCTGTCTGTCTGTCTGTCTCTTTTCTCAATGACTCTCCGCCCTTCCCGCCTCTGTTCTTTCCCCCATCTCTCTTCCCATCTTCTTCCCCATCTTCGCTTGTCTGGCCACCTCCACCTTCCTATCCATCTGCCTCAGTCTCCCCATCTTGGCCTCGCCCTACGGGCAGGCCTCTGGGCCCCTCCCGGGTGCGCACCCCTTTTCTCCCTCAGGTGTCTGTCTGCAGTCCCCGGGCTGCCCGGGTCTCCGGAGGCCTGTGGGGGCGGCGCTCACCCCTCCAGCTCCGGCTGCAGCAGAACCCATCTCCGCAGGAAGCCCGTTTGGAAAACATCCCCGCGCAAGAGGGACTGCGCTGGGGCAGGCCCGCGCCCCGGGCCCGGGGCAGGCACAATGACGGCCCAGCGCATACGCAGATACACACCCGGCGGCCCCTCGACACAAACACGCGCGCGCACGCACAGTCCCGCACAGCCCCAGACCCGCGAGCGGTGCCAAGACGTGTGGAAAGCCCACCCTGGCCCCGCCACAGCAGCCGTTAGCGCCCAAACAGCTTCGGGCGCGCGCCCTCGAACCCACTCCCTCAGCCACCCCGAGACACGCAAACACGCCCCCCGCGCCCGCCAGGGCCCGCCCGGCGCAGCCCCCGCCCCTTCCGCCCCAGCGGCCTCACCTGGCCGTGCTCCGGGATCCGTTCGTGCAGCTCCCTCCGCGCCTCGCCCCTGCTCGGCCCCGGAGCCGCTGCGGCGGGATGGGCCCGGCCCGCGGCGGCTCCGCGCTGCCTCGTCACAGGGACACCCCGGGCTGAGGGAGGGGGACAAGCGCTAACCTCCACGCTCCACCCTCTGTACCGCCGCCCCGCCCATCTGGCCCCGCCTCTCGAATAGACACGCCCACTTTAGACTCCGCCCCCTTGCGGCGAAGCTTAATCCTAACTGTCTGGGCTCCGCCCCTCTGGGAAGACCACGCCCCTGCACCGACTCCGCCCCTGGCACTGGAAGCCCCACCCACCGACTCCTGGATACCCCTGTTCGGGCTCCACAGATCCCGCTATCATTTTTGGAGACTTCCCGGGTTCTCCCAGAGGCCCACCCTCCTCCATCGCAGTCTAGGGCTTTCATGCTGGGCAGAAGGCTCCTTTCCCCACTTTAGGCCGGGGACTCTCCACCTCCCGCCCGAGACCCCGCCTTCCACGTGGGGAACCCGCAGGATTAGAAGAGAAAGCGGGGGCGGGAAGGAGAGCAAGAAGGAAAACACTAGAGGAGGAGGAGGAGGAGGTGTGCATCAGCAGGAAAGCCGAGGAAAGCCGCTGCATTTGACTGGAGTCGCAACCTTCCAGCGCAGCGGGGCCCTTTCTCGCTGGGTGACCTCTGGCCGGTTCTGGGGCCTTTGGTGTCCAGGAACACCTCCCTCCAGCCTGCCAGCACGTACACACCGCACGAGACGCCACAAAGGGGATGGAAACCTCTGAGGGCGCGCAACCCCTTCCAGGCCTGGGCTTGCAAGATAACTTATGTATGACTCTGCACCAGGTGCTATCCACTGCACTTTCAGGAAGATAAGCCTTCTAATCGCTGGGAGCTAGGCCCGATGATCGCCCATTTTACAGATGAGAAAACAGATTTACAACCTGACTTTGTCACGGTCATTTTGCTAGAAAGGAGCCAAGAGTGGATCTCAGCTATGTGCCTCCCAAGTCTGGACTTCTAACTTCCTTACCTCGTAATGACTAGGAATGGCGAGATGGGGCCCAGAAGCGCAGAGCAGGAGAGACCCAGAGATGCATCAGATGAGGGCCCTGTAGGTCATTATCTCGTGGTCTGTTTGGAGCCATAATCAAGAGCTGGGGGAAGCTCAGAGGATGGACTCTTAACCTGCATCTTCGGAGGGAGTGTGCATTCCACTGAGGAAATCAAGAAAGGTTGCGCAAAGGAAATGGCCTTTGGCCCCTCCATCACGAAGATTTTGCCCACCCCTTCCTGAGAGGGAAAATTCTTTCTCCCACCCCCAACTTGTTTCTTGCAGTCTCTGAGACCCCCTGCGCCCCACCACATCCACACACCCCACTAACTCCCCCACCTAAAAATAGTCCAGGATACCAACTGCTTTGCTAACTGTCCTGGGCCCCATCAGTCAGATGAAACAAGGAGGCTGCCGACAGTAAGTCCTTTAGGGACAAAGACAATCATTAATCAAAGAGAAACTCCCTGAGAGGCCACCGCTGAGCAGACCAGACTGCTGGGCTGCCAGCAGCAGGTCATACAGACCCGGCACCACGAGACAGCCTCCATCCCTGAATGCCTACGGTGTGCCTCCTCCACGGCAGGTGCACACAGCCACGAGAGGACACAGTCAGAGGCACAGTCTCACCCCACTCTGCACTCTCAGCTTCTGGCACTTTGCCTGCCAGAGCAGGCCCTCAGGGAACGTGTGCTGAATTACTATTCAGTACCTCAGTTTACAAATGAGAAAAATGAGGCTTTTTTTTTTTTTTGTCAGTGAGGAGATACTTGTCCCAGATCGCACAGTTAGGGAAATAAGTTAAGTTTGACCAGAGCCCCACTGCTACCACCTGACACCAGACTGCAGAACGGAAAGGCTGAGGCTAGTTCCTCCCTTGGTGGAGCCCTGGGAGCAGCTTGGATGGGAGCCACACAGCCAGACCTTTGGGGCCTCTGGGAGCCTGCAGTGGGCCTGATCCCAGCAGTCCAGATGGGGGAGAAGAAGGGAATATGTGGACACCCCCAAATGTCCAAGTTTCAGCCTTGGTGTCTGGCTCTAAGGCCCATGTTCTCTGCCGAGAACTGGAGCTTCTAAATCTCTCTCACCTCAGTTTCCTTGTTTTTAAAATGGGAATAATAATAATGCTATCTATCTGTAGTGGGTTAAAGATTTGTACTATTGTTCTGAAATCCCTTTGTTCAGCCCTTCCCTTCTCTCCAATCTAGATCTTGACCCTGTTGCTTAAAAAAAAAGTGGGGGACAAAAAAAGGAACAAGATACAACCTTTATTTTTCTCATTCTTGGGTTCAAGTGTCCAAAGATGAGGGGTTGGCATAAAATTTGGAAGAATACTTGAGTATCTGTTTGAGAAAGGATGTTGAAAAACAAAACAAATAAAAAGCAACAAAAGCAAACTGTGCTAAGAGAGTCAGAGAGGAGAGAGGGAAGGGTTAAGATGCTGGGCTCTGCCTTGTTGTAGGAGGGAGGGTGGGGCTGGGAAAAGGGAGACCCATCTGATAGATCTGAGGATCCAAACGCCATTCCCTCGGAGTCTGAATTTGATTGGGTCCATTGTGGAGCAATTCATGTCCCAGAACATTGTGGAAAAGAGTAAAGGACTCAGCTGGCAACAAGTGGAGCTAGACAGCGGGCGTGGTCAGGGAAAGAGTCAGTCAAGGAGAGCCTTGCCCTAACCACTGTCATCCCAGGGTGACAGTGGGCACACCCCAGGCGACATTCCCTGAGGACCAAGGACAGAGAATGGGAGATGGACTTCACTAAAATGATCCAGCCACCCCGGCTGGTGTGGCTCAGTGGATCCAGCGCAGACCTGCAAACCAAAAGGTCAGTGGTTCGATTCCCAGTCAGGGCACGTACCTGGGTTTCGGCCTGGCCTCCGGTTGGAGGCGTGTGGTTAGGGGCATGCGAGAAGCAACCAATCGATGTATCTCTTGTACGTTGATGTTTCTCTTCCCTCTTTCTCCTTTCTTCTCTCTCTAAAAGTAAATAAATACAATATTTTACAAAAGGGGAAAAAATGATCCAGCCAGTTAGTAAACAAGCAAATAACAGACCCTGGAGGGGGGAAGACCAGTATTGAGTTGCTACAATATATTATCTAAAATCTTCAGTTTTTGACCAAAAAAAAATATGTCATGCAAGGAATTGGGAAAGGACGACCTGTACACCAGGGAAAGAAGCAAGCAGTTGTGGTCGGCGGGTGGGGAAACGCCCCCGCATGCACTGCTAGTGGGGTTGTGAGAAGGTGCGGCCGTGCAGGGGAGCAGTCGGCAGTGCCTCGGACAGTTAAACATAAAGTTACTACCTGACACATAGAAATTTCACTCCTCGGTACATCCCAAGAGAAACAAAAGCATATGTCCACACAAAAACCTGTACACAGTATTTATGAATACATCTTCCGTAATGCAGTCCAAATGTTCATTAATTGTTGAAGGGATAAACAAAACCTAGTCTATTCAATGGAATATTATTCAGTCATAAAAACAACCACTATACATACCAAACCTCGAAAACACTGCGGATGAATCTTGAAAGCATGAAGCTAAGTGAGAGAAGTCGGCCGCAAAGACCACGTATTCCATGACTCACTTTACAGGAAATGTCAGAGTAGGGAAATCGAGAGACGGAAACGGAGTGGGGCGGGGATGAGTGGCAGAAGGGAGTGCGAACGCTGGAAGATACAAGTTCCTTTTTCAGGTGCTGAAAATGTCCCAAAATTCACTGTGGTGATGGTCACAAAAATCTATGAAGATACTAAGAAACACTAAACTGTACACTTTAAATGAGTGAAGTGTATGATAGGTGAATTATGTTTCAATATAGCTCTGTTAAAAAAAATATATATATATATCTGTTAAAATAAACATAACAAAGAGCAAAGAAAACAAAAGCCAGACATGGTGGAATCCTGTGGCATGAGTCCATTGATATAAAGCTCAGAAGTAGCCCAAACTAAGCTATATTGGACCATGATGCACACTTAGGTGGTAAAAATAAAAAATGCAAAGAAATCAGTAGCATGAAAACCAGGACAGGTGTTGTAATTGGGAAGGAGTACACGCAGCGGGTTAGGGTGCTGTCCAGGGTGCTGCTCAGTTTCTGGGCTAAGAGGAACTCTCCTGGGTGCTCATTTTGTTATAGTGTGTTACACTGTGCATTTATGTTTTATGAGCTTTCTGCTTGTTTATAATATTTTATAATAAGAAGAATGTTAAAAATAGTGAGCTGGTTAAATGAAGCTCTCACACTCTGCAATTTGAATGAGTAGGGATTTGTTCCAGCTGAAAGGACAGGAGGTAGAGGAGGCTGGTGAAGCTGTGACAGCCATGGTCTGAGTAAGTGATAAGGGTCAGAACCAAAGGGAGCTGAAGAAGCCAGGGAGGATAAATAGGGTGGCAGTTCAAGTGTACAGAGAGAAGCAAAAACCACGAGAGGGGTTAAAAAGGGCCCCTAGAGCTTCAAATCTGAATAGACTTTGGGTTTATTCATTGACCCATTCATCAACGATGCTATTACACACCTACCGTAGGGCATGCCAGTGAACCTGCTTCTCCTTAGCCCCAAGGATGAGTTCCCAGCAATCACATTTATCTCTGTGACGTCATCCCCTGGTCACAGCAGAAAGAAAGGGAGTACCAACCCGGTCCAGGCTGGGCCAATCACATTGCACCTGTTGGGAATTTGGAGTGAAAATTCAGAGACAGCCATTTTCTGCCCAGGGTTGCAGAATCAAGGAAGTCATCTGTGATAGAAATGGGTTATTATGAATAACAATAAACTCTCCTTTCACCTTTGTGACTCTTATCAGTTAGGGAATTCCAGAGTTTTTAGGAGCTCTGTGCTAGGAACTGAGACAGAGACCAAATATATATTTCTTATTCCAAATCACAATACCACAGTGCCCAAAAATGTCAGTGTTGCCAGTGTGGGATGAGGGCGGGAAGAGAGAGAGAGGTGGTCAGAGAGGAGGGTAATTCTTATAGTGCAGGGTAAAGAATTAGGACTTTACCTGGGCTCCAGTGGAAAATCTTTGGAGTAGGTGAGTGACAATGAAGACATTGGGGTCACTCACTCGGCGAGTGACAAAATATGACTTATGCTTTAGAAAGATCCCTCTTAGCTGCTGGAGGAAGGTCTGCAGAGGAGCCAGAGTGGGATGTTGTTAGGACACTGTTGTCACCCAGGTGAAATGTATTCATGCTGAGACTGGGGTTACCACAGCGGAAGCAGAGGAGATAGCACATGCAAGGGTCACGGCATTGGTTCCACAGATACTCCCCAAAGACCTACTGCATGCTGGGTCTGAGGTCGGGCCTTGCACCTACAGGAATGAGCAAGATGTAACATCATGTCTGAGGGTCACACAGGACACTGCAGTGGCTTCCTATTTGGGGGGAGGCTGGGCCATGAGCATTAGTTAGAAATACACTTCTCTTGTGATCCGATCGATGCACATGCACAGACACACAAGGGAAACACAAATTTCATGAGAACGCTTATTTTTACTCCGTTTGATGCACTCTATTTTCTATTCTATTTCATTGAAAAAGCTGGTTGAACTCATGAAATCAATTTTATAACCCATGGGCAGGTCACAATTCTAATTTGCAAAAAGCCCTAAGCTCAAAGTGTCGGCAGGTCTATTGTGCCCCGAGGCCTTGCTCCTTGGCTCGCAGATGGCCATCTCCTTGCTGGTCTTTCTTCAGTGAGTGTCTGTGTCCTAATCTTCTCATATAAGGACACCCAGTGGGTTAGGGCCCCACCTAATGGCCTCGTTTTAACTAACCATCTCTTCTCTTTTAAGACCTTCTCTCCAAATACAGTCATGTTTGGAGGTGCTTGAAGTTAGGGCTTCAATATATTACTTCTGGGGGGAGATAATCAGCCGCTAAGAGGCACCTTTCTGAGGAGCCGGGAGGCAGAGGGAGCTGGGAAGAAAAGGAGAGAAAGCGTGTACAAGTCTGCATACGCACGGGCAGGGAGGCACGGGAGAGTGCAGGGCCACAGGGAATTGTGTGCTCTCGGGTGTGGCTGGAGAGTATGGTGTGGGGTAGGGGTAGCAGGCTGGTGAAACTGGCAGGGGCTGGCTCCAGGGCCTTGAACCCCATGCCCACACATGGGGCTACATGCCCACACTTGTGGACTGTAGTTTTATAGAGCAATGAGTCTCAGCAGCATCCCCTGGGGCACTGGAAGAAGATTCTGGAGGGCCGAATTTTAACAAGTGTCTGGGAAAAGGAGCTGTAGGTGACATTAACAAGCTTTCAATGGGCCTGACATGAGCTGAGTTGGAAGGGCTAGATTGGTGGGGCAAGAATGGAAGCAGTGAGGCCACAAAGGGGGCTGGACTGAGTGTCCAGCCAAGGAAAGATGAAGTCTGAACCGACAATAATAATAGTTAACACTTATTTTTAAAAATATTTTATTAATTTTTTTAGAGATAAGGAAAGGGAGGGAGAAAGAGTGGGAGAGAACCATTGTCGTGTGAGAGAAACATTGATTGGTTGCCTATCACATGCCCCCAACTGCGGATCTAACCCACAATCCTGGCATGTACCACAACTGGGATTTGAACCGGTGACCTTTTGGTTCACAGGCTGGCACTCAATCCACTGAGCCACATCAGCCAGGATAGTAGCTAACCCCTAGAGAATACTTAACCATATGCCACATGCCAGGCCTGAGCTAAACACCCTGCCTGGGTGCTCTCATTAAATTCTCTCAACAGTTCTGTGTGCTGGTATGTTTATTATTCTTTTTTTACAGTTGAGAAAACTGGGACCCAGAGAGGTGAAGGGACTTGCCCCAAGTCACACAGCAAGTGAGAAGTGTGTTGGGAGTGGTGGAAAATGGCTGTCAGCCCTCCCCCTCTGGGCAGTCACAGAGCAAATGGCAGGACTGGAGGGAACTGTGGGGATATAAGTCAGCAGGACTTGGGGTTGGGTTGAGTGTTGGGGGCTGAGGGAGAGGGGGGAATTGTGTGTGGGCAGTTCTAGGGCCCTAACTCTCCACGTCTTCAATCAGAGGTTGAAGGGAGCTCAGCCCTCTCTTCTCTCTGCCTTCCTTCTTCTCTGTCTGCTCTTCGGCTGCTCCAGGGGGCATCGGGGCACCAGGCTGAGCAGTGACAGGTACGGATCTCAGCCTAACTTTTCTTCTCAACGTCATCTCGGTTTTCATTGGTGGAAATCCGGAATCCCTGGCCCTTACCCCGGCAGAATGTGTCTGGCACCTAAGCCCGTCTGTTCACATGGGTTCCCGTCAAGATGGCCTGACCAGACCCTCATTCACCCTGAGAAGGCTTCTGCCCAGTCACCTTTCCTTGCAGGGCTGGTGGAACTGTGTACAGAGGGGTACACACTTCTTAACTGGGCTAAGAAAGCCTGGGTGATCCGGCCCTACTCACCCGTCTGGCCTCCTTTTCACCACCAAAGACTCTGAACTCACACATTTCCAAAGATAGACCAGGGAGTTGCTTCCTTATCATCAGAGCTGGAATAATCAAAACTGTCCTTTTGCTGACAGGAAGTGGAGGAAACGGCACTCAACAAGCCCAGTGTGTCCCAGGTTGCATTCTTGGCTCCCTGAGCACCTGCAATGTCCATCTACTTCCTGATTCCTTCAAATTCCTCGATTCATAAAGGATTTCTATCTTCATTTGTAAATACAGGGTGGGCAGTGTGGAGGACCCAGAGATAAACCACACCCAGCCTGGCTTGTTCTGGGCCACACCCTCTTCTAAGCGCTTTACCTGAATTAACTAATTTCTCGTGGGGCAGATATGATTGTTAGCCCTGAGCTACTAGTGAGGAAACAAGGCACAGGGGAGTTAATTACCCATCCAAGGTTTTACAGCTAGTAAATCAAAGGGCCAGCTTGGTTCCAGGGTCTTGATCAAGGCTAATAGATTGAGGGTTCTAAAGAATTTAGCTGTCAGAGGCAGGAACAATCACATTAAATTAGTGGGAGTTTAACGAGAATTCATAATTTTAAAACTCTCACAGTTCACAATGTGGTCTTACATGGATTATCTCCTTTTAATAGATGGAGCAGTATAGAATAATAAATGTCATAAGACCTATTTTTTATTTTTAAAATTTTTATTTATTTATCTTTAGAGAAAAGAGGGGATAAAGAGAGGGAAACATCAGCGTGTGGTTGCCTCTCCTGCTCCCCCTACTGGGTAGGTCTGGCCTGCAACCCAGGCATGTGCCCTGACTGGGAATCAAACCAGAGACCATTTGGTTCAGAGGGGGGTGTTCAATCCATTGAGCCACACCAGCCAGGGGCACGTTACAAAGTCTAGACTGAGATAATCCCAATATTTGTTTCCCAGCCCTGTCACATACAGGATAGGCGGTTCGGGTCCCCAATTTGTGGTGCCTCAGAGCTCTTATTTGTGAAAGAGGTATAATAAAACATGCCATTGTGAGGACGCTTCAGTGAGACAATGCCCTTAGCAGAGTGCCTGGCACGTAGCAAGTACTCAAAAAAAGTTCAATGATACGCGGTAATATCGTGAACACAAATCATGTATCAAACACATTCTGAGCCTGTTAAGCCTCACAACAGCTCTGTGAAGGTTTTGTCCTCGTTCCACAGTGAATAGCTGACTAGATGCCACTCTTTGTTCTAAAGCACTTTGCTAACTCAACCCACGCAACAATTCCTAAGAGTAAGTGCTATATATTTTAATCCCCAACACGCAGGGAAGGGAACTAAGCATAAAGTAACTTGATGAACTTCACAGGCAGCAAGAGGAGCAACCGGGCAGTTTGCTTCCAGAGTCTATACTCTGAACCATACCGCCTTTCAGCAACTGGCGAGAGACCAGACTAAGCGAGTGAAGAGATTGTTTCTACACCTAAGAACGAGCTCTAGGTTCATTTCAAACCCAAGGATAATCGCAGCGTCCAACAGGTAGCGCCCAGCATACCGCAATCTGCGGGATTTGCAGGAGCGGTCAAAACTACCATACCCACAATGCTATGCGGACACAAAGGTCCTCCAGTTTAGTTGTCTGAAGTAATGCCTGTGCACGCCGCAGGAGGAATGTGTGTACCCGAGCCATTTAGGACCTTCCCCGATATTCAGATGGCAAGGTGAAAGTTGCTTTTTTTCTTTATATCACTCTTCTCCTTGTCTTACCAGTTGGAGAGCGGAAGGGCCGAAATAAGTCTTCGTTGGCTTCAACTGCTCTAACCTAAGAAGAGGACCCTTGACCTCTAACCCAAGATGGCAGCGTCCGCAGCTGTCTCCATTGCTGTTGACCTGAAGTGATCTGAGACCGTGAACCACGCATCATGTCGAAGATAAGCCGGACCACTCGGGCCGTCAGGAAGCTCGAGGCAGGCGGCGTGATCCGAGCCATCGTGCGTGCGGGCCAGGCCATGCCCGGGCCCCCACTAGGCCCCATCCTGGGTCAGGTGCAGCCACAGCCCGAACCCGGCCGGCGTGAGAGGAGTCGTCGGGGTGGGAAGCTAGTATTCGGCTGGTGGGTGCGGGCTCGGGACCCAGGGAGCCCCCCCCCCCCCCCCCCCCCCCCCCCGCCTAATGTCTTTCTGTTAGTTACATAGTTTCTCAGAGGCTCCTCTTCCTTAGTCCTTCCTCAGGGGACTGTTGTGAGAACAGAGGGGGAAGATGTTCACACGACACGTAGTTGAATCTGGGTGAGGAAAGAAATTGGGATCATAGAGAAAGAAGTGAAGACGGAGGAGGCACGGACGGAGCCGGCACGGACGGAGCCTCCTGGCTGGTAGGAAGCTGTTACTTCCTCCCCGTACTAACCCCTGCGCCTCTGTCACAGCGAGGCGTTTCCATCAACCAGTTCTGCAAGGAGTTCAACGAGAAGACAAAAGACATCAAAGAAGGCATCCCTTTGCCTACCAAGATCTTTGTGAAGGTGCAGAGCCGGGACTGTGATCCCAGTTTCTTTTCATCCCCCCCATGCTCCCTAAGCCCTGGGGCTGGTTGCCTGGGGTTTCTATTCAGTTCCTAACTTGGGGCAAGTCTCGTCCTGTTCCTGGGCCCTACTTCCCTCATTTACACAGTGGAGGCTGCACGGGCTTTTCTGAGCCCGCCCTCCCATATTGCAGGTCTTCCTCTGCCCCATCGTTTCACTGGGATTTCCTGAGTAGAGCTGGGCCTGGAATAGAGGCGATAGGGCTGTTGGCTGCAGATTTATTTTTCCTGTGGTTTTGTGGTTTTTTTGGAGGGGCACCACCAGAAGGTGACTCAAGGGAAGGGGAGACAGGAAGTTAGTTCCCTAAACTGAGGCAACACGAGTTGGGAGAAGCAGGAAGAGATATTCTTAATTACTTCTTTTTCCATTAAGCCTGATAGGACATTTGACATCAAGATCGGACAACCCACTGTTTCCTACTTCCTGAAGGCAGCGGCTGGGATTGAGAAAGGGGCCCGGGAGACAGGTAAGGGTCGGGGTAGGCACTTGGGATCTGGGGGTGCTCTGGAAGGAAGCAGCGCCACCTTCCAGAAGGGCTACTTGTTTCTTCTTATTATTTTATTGATTATATTGTTACAGTTGTCTCATTTTTTTCCTCCCCTTTAACTCCCTCTGACCTGTACCTCCCCTCCCTCCAGCATTCCCCCCACCTTAGTTCATGCCCATGGATTGTACATATAAGTTCTTTGGCTTCTCCATTTCCTCTACTATTCTTAACTTCCCCCTATCTATTTTGAACGTTTGTACTATTTTGAACCTACCCCTGCCAATTATGCTTCTTGTTCTCTGCACCTTTTCCCCCATTCCCCCTTCCCGCTCCCCACTGATAACACCCCATGTGATCTCCATTCCTGTGATTCTGCTCCTGTTCTGGTTGTTTTCTTAGTTTGTTTTTGTCTTTTAGGTGCAGTTGTTGATAGTTGTGAGCTCGTTGTCATTTACTGTTCATAGTTTTGATGTAGGGCCACTGGTTTCTTCCTTCCTTCCAGGAAAGGAGGTGGCGGGCCTGGTGACCTTGAAGCACGTGTATGAGATTGCTCGTGTTAAAGCGCAGGATGAAGCCTTCGCCCTGCAGGATGTGCCCCTGTCCTCTGTTGTCCGCTCCATCATTGGCTCTGCCCGTTCCCTGGGCATCCGTGTGGTGAAGGAGTGAGTATCCTATGGAGGCACAATGTGACGGGAGGTCCTGGACAGTTCTTGACTTTGGGGCAAAGCTCAGGGGGCAAGTAGTGGGAGAGTAAGCTTCTGCGTCAAAGGTCCTTAGATTCTTGGCAGTGGGGAGCCCCATTCATTCACTTGGAATGCAGTTATCAAGTATCCACTGTGTGTTAGACGTTGTTCTGGGCCCTAGCCGAAACTAGGAACTAGATGACCACGCTCAGCCCCATTCCTAAGGAGCTCACAGTCCAGAGATGGAGGCGGATCCATAAATGGAGCACTAGGCTGCCAGACGGCCAGTGTTGGTAACAGGAACTACAGGTGTCTTGAGAACAAAGCGGAGAACCCTGATTTTACCTAGGATGTCAGTGAGGACTTTGTATGAGAGGTGACAGAGACCTGGAAAAGGAAGTTGAGGACTGGGCGCAAGCATTCCGATAAGTGGAATGGGAAAATGGAAGCAGAGAAGTTCAGTGCAGTCTGGTATATGATGTGGTGCTAGAGGCAGGGTAGGAAATAGTGTGAAAGAGGGAGGCCAACGGGGCCCCTGCCTCGGGGCTTCGGTGACTTCAGGGATTGTTTCTCTGAAGTAAGATGTCAGGGGCGAGGGTGTCCGGCCCTGACAACAGCAGGGCCTCCAGCTGCTGATGTCAAGGCTGCCGGTTTCCCAGAGAAGTGGGGTTGAGCCTGGAACGGGGAGCCTTTACCTGTACTGGGAGTTCGGGGATGAGTCCATCTGATGCCCATTCAGGGAGAGACACACATGCCCAGAGCCTTTATTGTACAAACTGTCATGGAGCTCAGAGGAGTGGGCTGACTAGTCTGGACTGGGGCATAGCTGGGGCCTCAAAGGACCAGTAGGGTTTTAAGAAGGAAATAAAAAGCAGAGGTGGTGAGGGTGGGTGGCATTCCTGGTGGAGGAAAGAGAAGAGCAAAGGTGTGGGAAGTCCAGGAGGGGAGAAAGGGTTCTGAGACCATGGCACGGGCCGCTCACTTAACCGCCTGTGTTTCTGTTCCTGCAGCCTCAGTTCAGAAGAGCTGGAAGCTTTCCAGAAGGAGCGGGCTGTGTTCTTGGCTGCTCAGAAAGAGGCAGATTTGGCAGCTCAGGCAGAAGCTGCCAAGAAGTGACCCCTGCCGTGCACACTCCAGGATTTTGAGGGGAGCAGCTAGGAAGCGGGCCACTGGGAAGGCTGCTTATTATTGTCATGATTTAGATTATATATTTTTATATGTATGGGTGTTACAGAGGGATCAAGCCTAAATAAACATCTTTTGCCACCCACTCTTGACTTCTGTCTTGAGACCCTGGGGGAAAGGGGCCTGTAGTGATGGCAGCCACCACGGGCAGACATTCGCTGCCCCAGGGAGCGGGCTCTTCATGCTGCCTGTCAGAGGTGGGGCCCGAGGCTCAGCCAACAGAGCACCTTGTCCCCGGTGAATCGACGAATCGACGGCAGATGTCGGAGTAGAAGCCCCGCCTTCCGATTCAAAATCCTGGGCGCGCCTCCTCCCTGGGGGTGAGAAAACAGGTGGGGTGGTGGGGGCGGGGGGCTGTGAGTGCTGGGCACGTATGTACAGGGCAGCAGGTGTTGCTCAGGCCTCCATCAGAAACACTCCTCTGTCAGGGACTCGACGGAAGCAGACCCCTGTGGGGACTTCGGGTCACGGCCCCACCATTGGTACTGCACGGAGTGCCCCAGGTCCCAGGGCGCCTTCGGGCCCCTCTACTAAGCTGACCCTGGCTCCGCATCAGGTGTTCACCGATGTGAGCTGTTGGGTTCTCGGCTCCAGCTGTGTGGGAAGAAGAACCTGCAGGAAGGCCCTGGCCTCCACCTTCCCTGTTGCCCAGGACACGCAGCACTCCATCCTGCAGAGCAGACAGGAGGGGCCGGGCAGAGCGGGTTCCCATTTACCGGGCGTCTGTTTCCTGCTGGCACTTAGTTTTGCACTGAAATTTGGAAAACAGGAAAAATAGCTCAAGTCTGGGTAATTCCACCACCAGATGAGACTCCTGCCAACGTTTTGGTGTATGTTTTTTCTATTCGCTGTTTCTTTGTACGTGTATTTATATGTAATGTTAAAAAAAACAAAAACTGGTGTTCTAGTCAAGATACTATTGTATTTTACTTTAACTTGACAATTGCTTAGAACATCTTTCATTAATTATTTAAGCAATTTTTGATGACTGTTTAGTAATTCGTTTTGTGGGGGTTTAATTTATTTAACCAAGTCTTCAGCTGTTAGGTATTTTATTTGCACTAAAATATATATGCACAGCCCTGGCTGCTGTGGCTCAGCGGATTGAGTGCCAGCCTGTGGACCAAAGGGTGTCTGGTTCAGTTCCCAGTTAGGGCACAGGCCTGGGTTGCAGGCTGGGTCCCCATTTGGGGGCCTGCAAGAGGCATCCACATATCAATGTTTTTCTCCCCTTCTCTTTCTTTCTTCCTTCCCTGCTTTCTAAAATAAATAAGTTAAATAAAATCTTATACACACACACACACACACACAGGCCTGGCCAGTGTGGCTCAGTGATTGGAACATCATCCCACACGCCCTTACGAAGGGTGGTGCGTTTAATTCCTGGTCAGGGCACATGCCTAGGTTGTGGGTTCAGCCCCTCAGTTGCAGTGTGTACAGGAGGCAACTGGGGGATGTTTCTCTCCCTTCCTCCCTCTAAAGTCAATGACTATATCCTCATGTGAGGGAAAAAGTAGGATGAATATATGTATATCTAAGAATATATATGTGCATGTATGTATACATGTATATTCACACACAACTTGTGATGAACATGATTTGCAAAACAGCGTTTGAGTGGCTCGTGTGTCAGGCCCTGGACTCAGGGCTCCTACTACTGAGGACACGGAATGAATAACTGTGATAGACACAGTTCCTGCCTTCCGAGAACTGCTCTTTCTTTCCCCTACTGAACACACTGTGCCCTCTGCAGACCGTGTATTTTTTCACGTCTCGCACAGCTGGAACACAGGCTTTGTGAGCCCAGGAACCTCGTCTGTCTTGTTCACCGCTACGTCCCCAGCACCCAGAACAGTTCTGGGTGCATGTAGCCATTGTAAATATCTATCTGGTGGGAAAAAATGAGGCTGCAGAGGCAGCACTTGAGCTCAATCTTTATGACCCAAAACCTTGAGCTCTTTTTCCTACATTCTTTCCCCAGGGCAGAGTCTGGTATCCGTAGGAAGAGAACCGGCTGAGAGGCAGATCTGGCTTCTGCAGCGACTCTGAGAGGTGCACTGGGCAAGTCCTTTCCCCGCTGCCTCAGTACATCCATCTGTTCTGAGCTGTGAAATGCAGAGCCCCAGGGACCTTGCCAGTGAGGAAGGGAAGCAGATACCTTTCTGTCCAGCAGGTGGAGCCATTGTCTCTTCTAATTTTTCTCTCCTGAGCTTGGCTGCTGGGGTCTGTGTCTGAGGCCAGGATGCCTTCTGAATAAGAGGCGCTCTCTCTCCTCTCACCCACCACCACCGATGACCAGTGAAGTGCTTCTCTCTCACATTTCTTATTGCTTTAATTCATTTAGTTTTATCCTTTAAAGAAACGTTTAATTTCAGAGTAGATTCAGCTACAGAGTTCCCATATACTCCATACCTATTATTACTCCTAATAACATCTTACCCTTACACGATACATTTGTCACAATCGATGAGCCGATATTGGTACATTGCTGTTGCCTAAAGCCCATCCTTTACTCAGATTTCTTTAGTTTTCACCTGATGGCATTTCTCTGGTCCTGCCCCCAGCCCCCAGCAGAGCACACCATATTTCATCGTCTTCTTTCCTCGGGCCCCTCTCGGCTGTCACAGCTTCTCAGACCTCCCTCATCCGTGACCACGGTCAGGAAGGGTTCAGAAGGGGCTCCCGTGTGTGTCCTGAGCTTATAGTCATTTAAGATTCAGAGCTGAGAGTTACAACTCTTTGCCCTCAGGGAAACTTAAAAACAATTTTTGTGGTAGAGGTTGGTGGCTTTCTACTCAAACCCTTGGGCTGATCTTCAGAAATGGTTCTCTCCATGAAATATTTCTAAAGTGCCTGTTGTGTGCCCAGCCCTGTGCTGGCTGCCAGCGAGGGGACTTGTGGCTCTGACAGGCCAGTTCTGTCCTCCGGGTTGGAGAGCAGATGCACAGGAAGGCAGCGGGCAAGCCCTACCTCCCAGCCTGGCCCGAGGACCCACCCCAGGTGGAAAAGGGCTCAGGGGCCCCTGGAATGTCCCCTTCCCATGGGACCCTCTGAAGGGCACAGCCCCAGAGCCGGAGGCCTTGGAGTGAGAGAAGGTTTAAACCTTCAGGGGGTTCTCTGTGTTGTGCTTCCAGCCCTGGGACTCCAGCCCTTGTATTTCACTGCAGAGGGTTGGGGGGTGGAGGGAGATTGGGGCCTGGACTTTCCTTCCTCTCCTTGAGAAAGAAACTTCCTCTAAAGCTTTGTGGTCAACATCGCCTTCTAATTCATTCTCTTACCCTCACCTGAAGACATGCTTACTGACATAAGAAAGAGGGCAAGGAAGAGAGAAAGGGACAGGGAGGAACATCAGTCAGTTGCCCGGTTGTTGCACACGCCCCAACTGAGACTGAATGACCCCGCAACCCAGGCGTGTGCCCTGACCAGGAATCGAACCACTAGCCCTTCAGTGGTTTACGAGATGACGCTCCGACCCACTGTGCCATGCCGTCAGGGTGCCTTCTAATTCATTTTAAGAACTCAAGCCTGTTTTGTGCTCCTCATCTTGTAAAGGGGCCTCATCAGTTGAGCAGCATCTTTGGGAGGTAAGTGCCATTTTTCTCCAGCCCCAATTCGCCTGAGAAGAAACTGAGGCTCAGGTCCCACTCAGCAAATAGTTGGCGGGTTTGAACCCAGGTCTTTTTGTCTCCTAGTTTTCATTTCTTCTCCCCCGCCATGCCCTGTGGCTGTTGAGCCCTCCAGCTTGGAGGAAAACAGTCTTTTTGGAAATTTTTTCTCTTGACTTCACTAAATTATTTTCTGCTCAGAAGTTTGGGGTCTGCTGGAGCAGTCAGGCCTGGAGGGGAAGGGCCCCTCAGCCCAAGCCTGCTCTTCTCGGGTACCTGGGGGGTGGGATGAATGAGATGGCGGTTCACGGGCTTTGGGGGCAGAGGAGCCAGCCCAGAGCTTGGATGCAGATGCCAGGGCTATGGTGCCTGCTTGTGCCTCTCGCCTGCTGTGGGGGAAATCACTTTTTACCTGTCATCCTCAGCGCCTTCATTAGTGAAATGGTGCTAATACACCTGTTCAGAGGCTTCACGGTAATGAATTCAGGATGGAAAAGTGCTTGTCAGCTGAAGGGCCCATGCGAGGTGGGTACCATTTCCAATGCACTGAGCACAAAGGGAAGTTGTTCCCCCGCAGGACCAGGCTAAAGAAAGAAACTTGGGTCCCGAGATACCAAATCTGTGAGCAGGACAGTGCCACGCTGAATCCGCTCCCCGTCCCCTGGTCCTCCTGGTCCTCCTGCTCCTCCCGCCCTGTGAGCACTGTCGACCTGAACACGGAGGGGACCCCAGCACCCTCCGGAATGAGATGCCAAAGCATCCTGAAGGTGAGCCGTAGCGTCTGTGTTGGCTCCAAGTTCTCCAGCTGCCAGAGCAGGGCGGATGGCCCGCCGTGCACTCAGACGTCGTGTGGACAGAGGACGAGTGAATGCAGAAGTGCCAGGCTGTGGGCAGGTCCAAACTGTATCTCCCAACCCCAGACTCCCGTCTGGGCTGCTCCCCCTTCTCCAGTCCCTACCCTTCCCTTTTTACAGCATGACACCATGGGTACCAAAAAGGCAAACTGGACTTTATTATAAAGTTGGCTACAAAGTCACCACAGCACCATGAGGTGGCCTCCTGGGCAGGCCCAGGCGGTCTGGCAGCCGGGTGAGTCCCGCACCAGGTACACGCACTCGTGCAAGCACATGTGTGACAGCGGCAGGTCTGCCTTCCTCCACCGGAAAGGAACGTAGCGTCTCTTCACGCCCCCCACCCCAGGCGTGGGGCGCAAAAGTCACAAGAAGGGCCGCCAGGGCGGCAGAGTCCAATCGGAATTGAAATCCCGTTACTGGTGTGTAGAGAATTCTACGTGAGTGTCAAGAGCCCCTCAGGGCACAGGCTGGCCCCGGTGGGCGCTGCCTTTCCCCCACCAAGGCCCAGGGGTGGCTTGGCCCCCAAGAGTGGAGAACTGGCCCAGGCCCATGGGGCAGCGCGGGGGGAGGTGAGACTCCCCGTTCTCCTCTTGAAATCCCATTCAAGGAAACTCACTACGAGTGAA